TAAATCCGACTTGCGAACCTGAACGAAGTCAACTCGTGAGCGCTAAAGTGGGGGTATTGGGGACCTCCCCAAGAAACTTTTGAAAGATAGACTTTCGGAAATGCTGTGTGACAGTATTCAGGCACCGATTGTAGAAATAAATAGAGCTGATCAGATGCCGTATGTCGCGTGATCACTAGTCTATCCGACCCCAGGGAGGAAAGTGTCAAATGAACGGACTTGCGAACCTCAACGAAGCCCCCGAAAATTTTAAAAGTAGACTGCCCGAAATGCAGTCTGGCAGTATTTTAGACATTGATCGTCGAGATAAATAGAACTTACCAGATACCAGCTGTCGCCAAATCACTAGTTTATCCGACCAGATAGGAAAGTGTCAAACGGACGGAGTGAGTGACTCAAAATGAATAAATATTTTCGCCATTTTGTGAAATAGACTGCCGGAAATGCAGTCTGGCAGCATTTCAGACACTGGTTCGTTGAGATAAATAGAGCTGACCAGATACTCTTCGTCGCCAAATCACCAGCTTATCCGAACAGAGAGGGTGGTGTCAAATGAACGGAGTGAGTGTATCAAGTGAATGCATATTCTCGCCGCGTTGATCTATACCCAAATACTACTGAAGATCGTAAAAATCACTTCTCAAGTGATTCACGTGTTATTGTTTATAGTAGGTTTACAGCAGGATGGGCTTGGTAAGAAATCACTCAGATTCGGCCGAACAGTTTTTACTGGTTTCCAAATTTTTGTCGTGCCTTAGGTCGACATAAGTTGAGCTACCTTAGAATTCCTTGCGAGCTCTAACGATTAGGTATACCATTAGTATGGACTATATATTGAAAGATTCGTGCTATTAGCCGAACCATTTATTCTGGTATTGTCGATCAGAAGTTATAGTTTATTATGCATAATATGATAGATGTGACTGTCATGTCCCCCAGAAGGCAGAGTGAGTAAAGCTAGACAGACTTTTTAAGTTGCCCAATGAGCAGGTGAATTAAAACTAGATTATTTACCCATGCAGTTTAATGTTTCTAGTGTTTAAGCCAGCTGAATGGGGTATACGATTATGTTTTAGTGCCCGTGTCGGTGATTTAAGTATGCGCTACAATCAATTTTTAGGATATTAATGGGTGATATCATTTGAATCTAAACCAATTACTATCACAGCTTGATTAGCTGCACATGTGCCAGTTACATGGTGTTTATTGATAGCAAAGTCTATTGTAGTTGGTATGTCTTGTCCGCAGGTTTGCCTTAAGAGTTTTGTTTACTCGTCCATGGTTAGCTCCCTTTATGCAATCAGGTCTACTGACAAATATTGTGTAAGTAGTGGAAAACGACTGGAGAATGAATTAAGTTTACATCCAAGCCATGTATAATAAATAATAAATTACATTTTACAAGATGTTTAGTTGATTATTTGATTGAGCACACAAATACAAATTATGGTACACAATAAAAATTTGTGTGATTCAACCAATCTCTTACAATCTAGTGACACTTTTATTTAGGTCATGAGATCTATGCACATGAAATCAGCTAACTGTATTACCTGTACATGTATGTGGGCTGAATTGTGGTTTTTATACGCCCGCATTGAAATGGGGTAGTATAAAGTCGTCAACCCTTCTGTCCGTGTCCACTTTTGCTTGTGGATACTCTAGGGGCTCAAGTTATTACCAGATTGACTTTAAAGTTATACACAGCGGTGAAGGCCATGGGACGAAAAAGTGTAATAATATTGCTAGAATTTTTGCTCTTGAAATTAATGATGGCGGTATATTTCATTAATTAATATCTTTGGCAAGTTGGTAGATTTCCACATATGTGGAAGTGTACTAAATCAACTTAGTCTGTAATTGACATATTGTTACATAAAAAGAGCTATTTAACCAGAACAGGTGTCAATAATTTACCACCAGAATTACACGTGAGTGGAATTATTCTAATTGCATCATTTGACATAAAGTAACCAATCATATCGTTTATTGCACAGGTTCAGGGCCATGAACAGGCTTTCTGTGCATGGTATACGTGAGTGCTATATAAGATATCTATAGTAAACTTTTAGGTAGACTTCCATTAGATTCCAGAGAGGCTCCATCTGAGTTCCTAGACAGCCGCGAGGCTGGCTAGGGTTGAGAAATGGTTTTTAGCTAGTATTGTTATCTATCATGCTTGTATCCATATGTATTCGGCTATGCTATATAAAATGTAGAAGCGAACTGTTACATTGTTATTCCTGGTAAGACAAACGTCTTAAGAAAACCAGTAAGAAGTAAATACACAACGTGAAACAGAAGTAAAGGCAGCTAGAGACAAATTCTAGACGAGCACAAGGCTACAGAAGTATGTAGTAAGAAAAGATGCATGGGTCGTACGTAGGATGTGGAGACCGGTTTTGCGACATATACGCCCGCTCTCCACGTTTAAAGTCATGAAGCGAGGGGTCCTATTAATTTTCATTGATTTGCGAAAATTACTGCTAGGGTTATGCCTCGTGATCAATTTGAAAACTGTTGTGGGCACTCCAGTGGTCATTAAATTTATACAAAGTGTGTAGTAATATAGAGGTCAAGAATTTGTGCTAAGAAACATCTATGGAAAATAGTATTATGGTTTTGATTAATATTCTCCATTGCCAAAATATTAGCTATGGTATAAGTTAAATCTGAAACTAAAGACAAAACATAGAGAAAAATGAGGGCCAAAACAATATCATTATCTTTACAAATTATTAATTCTAAGTTCATAACCAAATATAGAGAAAAAAATATGCTGGTTGTTTAGATACGTTAACGCAGTTAGAGTTTAGTAATCATGTTGGTCATTTGCATTTTTCAAGGATAAATTCTAAAAGCACGTGATAGGAAAGTTACCATTTCATATTTGGCATGGGGTGAGAATATATAATTACTAGAATGTGCGCTTTAGGGTAGACCGCCATGTAGTTCTCGTAGGGAGAAGATGTATGAATTTCCATCAGCAGACTCGCCGACTCTGCACGAGAGCGGGTTAGAGAGAATGACTTTATTATGTTTGTAACTTTGTAACCTATGTAGTAGTGCTTAATATAAAATGTAGAAACGAAATGTGGTATTGGTGTTACTGTGTGTAACCATAAACTGAATGGCAGAATAAATACACATTATTTAAAGTGGAGTCCTACAAGAAAAAAATAAGAAACAAATGCGGCCAGAGACAATACTAGACGATCATGGGCTGTTCCAGAATATGTAGTAAGAAACGATGCATGGGTCATACGCCGGATGTGGCGACCAGCTTTCCCGCGTCTGCTCTCCACGTCTGACAGACGACCCATGGTACTACAAGTGTCCATGAGATAAAGAAGCTTGTGATTTTCAACAGTCAAATTCAAATTCATAATATTACATGTTTTGTATAATAAAAATCATTGGGGAGACCCATACGCCAATAGAGTCTAATACTGTCTGATAAATACTTTATGAGATGCTACTCTTAATAAGATCGTAATGTCTTTATATACAAATATGCGATAACCCTTGTTGACTGCTCGGATGATTTAGGTGCAGTGGGCTTGTATTTCGTTGCCTGACAACCTATTTTTATAGTGTTGTTTGTCGTGTGTGCCTCCTCCTTTTGACTAATGTTTTATTGTAATTTTATTTGTTTTATTGTAAGTAAATGACAATTTACTCAACATCAAGATCTTTTAGTTGATAATATATATTACTAGAAGAATGCCCGGCTTCGCTCGGGGGTCATAACCCCGAAACCGGAAGTGGTAGACTAACGCCACCTGGCCTATGTTACTCCCCGGTCCGAGCTACCCTTATACCCCAAATTTCAGACTCGGGGCAGACCTAGTGTAGCCGCCAACCCCGAACAGACAGACAGGCAGACAAACGACAGTCACAAAATTTATATTAGTATAGATAGATGGCGTTCAGTCTATTGACATGAATTTTCAAGCTTAAATATATTATGTGTAGGATAAAGCACGAGACGGAAGTTATGCTGGGAAAGAAAGACTGAAGAAAATAACCTGAGAAAAAGAAAAACCGAGGCCAGCAGGCCGAGGTTTTTCTGTCGAGGTTTTTTTTCTGAATTCTTTCTTCCCCAACATAACCGAAGTCGAGGACTTTATCTTGCTTATAAACCATCTATGTTTACATGTACGCAAAATGAGAATATCCCAGAATTCCCATAAGAAAAACCTTTGATCATGTTTTCTTATGGAAAAAAACCCTACCCCGGAAGAATAACTTGTTACAGGTTTAAAGAAAAACTTTCAGAAGAGTAACCCAAATTTCCCCTGTATATATCCAAAGCCGCCCCGACTTTCAGATCTCAAGTTATTCCGGGCATAGAATATACCCCAAAGATCGAAGAGATTTACCGTTACAGGTTTATAATTTGTTGGATTGTATAAGGACTTATGTACACGAGTCTGACTTACAATAAGTAGTAACGAATAGGCTCCTCTTAACTGACTTTCCAAGTTTGATAAGCTAACAGTGGTACATGTGTTACCATAAGATGGAACCATATTAAATGTAATAAATTTAACCGCTGAAGTTTTTCCAGTTCCCAACTAACACTCCAGTTTAGATTGGTTAACTGGATCTTATTTCTTGTCAGTGGCTTAGGATGTTGAGTCTCACAAAGAACGTTTGTTTAGTCATTATGATGGCACAAAAAACCATTTGGTCGGATATATGCGCTAGTGATCGACAATCCATTGCCGAGAAACCATCGAAGTTGATAAAGTCTATTTTCAAAAGCACCTCTTTATAAAAAATTGAAACTTGCAAGAAATATATGGACAGAATAATTAATTATATATTTTAAAATGTATATCAATAACAACCTGTAATATATTGAGATTGTATGAAATTAATTATTTCAGTCTCAGCCTGATATAAATTTATATATATATATATATATATATATATATATATATATATATATATATATATATATATATATATATATATATATATAAAATATAGTTTGAATCGATTTTATTTTATATAATAATTTGATTTACAAATATTAAAATGGAATTCTAAATTATTTTCAAAAATGTTATACCCCATACATTCCATAATAATTTGGGTAGATGTAAGACTGGGTCACTTTAATAGATCAATAATTAACATATCGATTAATAAATCAAACCTTAAAAGAAATCACCACCAGCGAAGAGAAGCATAAATAACGGGTTGTTGAAGAAACTATTTTGGTATGGGGTATTTCTAAGTGGCGCACGGGCGCCTGATTGCCCCATTTGCAGTTGTCTCAAAATACTGAATTGGGGTTCGACAAAAGCTGCCGGCTGTTGTTGTTGTTGTTGTTGTTGTTGTTGTGGAGGGGAAACCGCAAGTGGGTCGTATTGTTGTGGAGGTACATCATATTGTTGGGGTGGTGGATTGTATGCTTGTTGTTGTGGTGGTGGTTGGGGTGGTTGCTGCTGCTGTGGTGGCTGTTGTTGATTAAATGACACCTGTTGATATGGTCCTGCTGCAGCTTGAGGGCACACTGAAATGGAAAGAATAAAATATTATTTGACCTGACATGGATGTTTGAAAAACCTTAAAAAATCCATGAGCGTTTTGGAAGTCTCACCGGTTAGTTTTTAGATTTTACGGTGTTTAAATGGGCTGTATGCATAATTTAGGACAAATCTGTCAAGCCACAACAGCTATATACAAATGTTTTACCTTTCTAGTTACTAGCCATACACTTTATTGTGCGTTAACGGAAACTCGTGAACAATAAGTCAGCGCAGGGTATTATGTAACGTTTAAAATTATTGTGAATATAACACTATTCAAAATTAATTACAGATATGTTCGTGGTGAGATTGATAATGGCTCTTTAATACGAGGTTGACTATCTGGCGAGGAATCAAAATTATGTTGTTAATTATCAACAAATATCTATATCCCAATCCAAACACGACACCGAATGCAACATTATCCGAATTTTAACGATTTCGTGTCTGATCGTTTAAATACCTACATCGGGTAGCTGGGCCCATGTTTGTTTGGAGATAAAAAAAAAACATTATTGATGGCGGTTGTTCTCTCTATAGAAATACAGATTTCGTTTATCGGCGACAGTAACGACAATAATATTTTATTCTGTGCAATTTAGCAATGATCCACAATATAATAATGGATGTTTTCGACATCGCCATGCATTTGTGGACATAAAGCAGCACGCAATATTTACTGCTTCTTGTGTGGCTGTGAATAGAACACTACCTTGCCCGACTTTCTGGTTTTAGCTAGCAATTATTTTAAGACAAAAATTCATAGTCTAAAAACGATATAATATCTGTTCTTATTCTGCATGGAGAATAAAATACCAAACCAAATGGTCGTATAATTTTGAAAATTTGGATCAATGAATAAGTTTTGTATCTAACTAGTACATTAAATCTGTTTGTTGTCTACTAGCCAATTTAATTGCTCACCCCAGGACAGATTTCCCTGCTGTCTATATATTATACATATATATCGGAGACATGGTTAGTCCAGGTTTTCACTCATATAATATATATAAGAATATGTACGGCCCTACGCGCTGAAACGTTTTGTAAACGGTCGTTAATTTAACATCGAAAATATCGTTCCGTCTAGCAAACCAGTGTGGTGCTGTTTCAAAGAAAACAATAAACCAAGGGAATTTTTTATGACATGCGAGCTGAAGATTCTGAATATAGGTCTGTCGCGACCACATCCTTCTTTTACACTTACCAGGTGTGTACAAAACACTGACAAAAAGAACAACTAACGAACAGAGGCACACTGTCTTCATCTTCTAATCTAGGGGATAAAGAAATAAACATTATAATCAAAGCTAGATATTTATTTCATTTCATTTTAAAAGAAGGGTTTTGATTTACTACACTGGTCCCAATCGATTTCTAAAAGGATCTGAAGACGAGTTCTGCCAAGCTATTAGACTATTTACATGTAATAGTGAAATGCAGCCGTTTTCGGAGATTGGAGATTTCGTCATCATGTCGCAAACAACCTGTGATTTCGACAAGTACACCAAGGCTGACCAAGTCTGATTTTGTAAACCAGTCGTCTTAAGTGAAGTCTGACAGCGTGTGCCCAGAGTCTATTTCAGACTCTTACAACTACCAATGCCTCCCAATCAAATTAATCAAACGTATCTTTAGAAATCATACCTCCTTTCAAATCCCTCGTAACAAATCGGAGGACAAGGGCCAGTCTATGTGACTTTTAATGTAGGCTAATTTTTTATTTAAAACGGGGTGAAATACCTTTTTTTTTTAAAAAAAGAATATTTTATAAGACCTGTTTATCATGATCTATTGGTGAATTATTAATAAAAATTTAACTTATAGAACGGTAATATTATAAAGACAATTTGAGTTAAATGCACAACAGCGCGATAACAGACATTTCCAGAGGCACATACAGTGAGAAACATATTTATTCAAGGGAAGTAACTCCTGTTACTTTTTTTTGATACAGACCAACATTAAAAACGAATTTTCTTCTAATAATAGTCTTTCAAGATGTTAATAATGTATGGGGTTTTAATCGACAATCAATTCGGTAAAATTAATATTCATGGTTTAGAGGATATCAGAACGGTTGACAGTTACATGTTTATAGTATGCTACTTCAAGTGTTTATATCTCGAAATTTCAGTGGTCAATTAACCTCTTGCAAACTTTGGTGCAAAGACATGGCTAGTTGTGTTTAGTCCAGTGAAAATTTTGGGAAAAGATGGGGCCGAGCAAAGAGGATAGACATGAACATGACAGTCTTTGAAAAAAATGGAAACGGTCAACTCTCTTCAATATTTTTATAAGATGATTGTGACATATTTGCCCCTTCGTGGTTTAAAAGATTAAAATTATCAGAATATTAAAAAAATCCAGTATGTAGACTAAGAAATGTCATGTATTTAACATTGAAGTCAATAGGGCGTCCGTCCGTTCATTCATTGATAGGACTGGCTGACAGTATACGTGTTTGTTGAAGAAGACGATTATAAACATCTTTAGCGTAATCACCTATACTGTGTCAGCTTACAGCTATGTTCAAGTTTTTGCTTGCCTGTGCTAAAGTTGCATTGTCAATCATATTGCTTGCATTGTGAATTAGCAATAGTTTCAATCCATTAAAAATTGACTATTGAGCCCTGTACCCACAGACACACACACATACACATACACAGACAGGGGCGATGACATAATACGCCTACATCACGAATGTGGACGTATAAAAAAAAATCACGATTTGGGTTGGGGTTTTTTCTCTAATTTACATCATCTGTCGTTCATGAGTAATAAACTCATGAAAGCCCCGGGCGACAGATTGGTGTGTTTTGGGGACACCTGCGTATAATGATAGACAAGTTCCACTTGTTTATGGGTATATTTCATAGCTTTAAGTCATGACATGATTATCTTTGAGAATATTAACCTTGTCATTTTCAACTAATTCTATTAAATTTAACATAGTTAACTGTCTGGACCTCTGTGGTAGTTTGTCGCATTCATACATACTCTTATTAGTTCCTATATATGGTTGTCAATAAGTCCTCAAATTGCACATTGACCCCAAGTGCCTGGGTAGCTATATCTACATACTTACCTATGTCAAAGTTGTAAGTGGTGGTCTCAATTAAACAGTGGAATTCCTCAATGAAGTACCTAACTTCGTTAAGCAAATATAGCGAAAAGTTCCTAACAGCTCAACATTTTGAAGTGGCAAGCTATCTGGTTCAATTCTTTACATGTTGGTCTTTAATTTTTTACTTAAACTCACTTATATCAACGGGTAACCTCTAAATCTGGGACTACCCCCTTTAAACAGAAACGTCTTTTAAGATCATAACCGCAAACTTCAAAAATATTTTTGATGTGCGTGTATAAACATAATATTAAATCTAAAAGATGTGTGTGTATAAACATAATATTAAATCTAAAAAATGAAAAATGTATATATATAACTGTACCTTTGAAGAGGTTATGTATTCCTTAAATAAAGTGTATCTTGCTGCGAAGCTGAAACTTCCGAATTAGCTTTTCTTTAAAAAAAATACCCTCTCTTATACTTGGCTAGAATCTACTTGTAAAGAATAAATAATCTGTTTAACGGTTGACTTTGACAGAACTGTTACACGAGTTCTTCTGGGTCAGTCAGTTGACAAGTTAGGCATCTACACATCACACGATACGTAATTTATACCTAATATGACATCGTAAAACAGTAACCTTTTTCTCATAAATAAATTAACGATGTCCGTTCCCATGTATCTGGGTCATACTTCAGTTGAATCTGTTCATTGATTTCGGGATTTTGAATCCATCATGTGTATTGAGTGGCACTTTCGATGCACCATAGGCCTATACGTGTATTATTAGGTCTGCCATTAGACTTCGACTAACTGTAATAAACTTATACTAAAATTTACACTAAATGGGGGAATCTAGGTATCATCACTGTTCAAATTTTATGCTAACTGTCTATGTTGCTTTGTTTCTTCTAAGACACGCTAGAATTCGTAAAGGTGGTGGATAAAGCATTTGTAAAGCGGTGTGTGTTGGGTCGGCGTTGAGTCAAGTGCCTTGCATGGCATGGAGTAAGGTCACCTCTCAAACATCGTGGGTTTTCTCCGGGTCCTTCAGTTTCCTCCCACTGCTAAATACCCCTACACGCACTCGAATTTTTAAAATACAAATTGAACTATATGTTAATGCCAGTATGACCCGGTTTGTGGCAATAAAAACGTTAACTCTCTCTCTCTCTCTCTCTGTCTGTCTGTCTGTCTGTCTCTCTCTCTCTCTCCTAAAATTAGTAAACAACCCGACGTCTGTTTAGTCTTCAAAACAAAACTGTGAAACGTGTTTATAGCAAATAGTGTAATAAATATTGTAACACATAATAAATCATTTTTGTTTTATATAAACGACAATAAACGTTCATTCTAAAAACGTTTGTTACGTTCAGGAATTCATTGGTTTTGTTATCATCAAAATAAAGTGAATATCGAGTTGATTAAAGGCAACGATATTCCTACTTTACTTGCTTTTAGAACCGTTACAGGATATAAAATATTATTTTTGAGAACGTCGTTTTCTATTAACACTATTAACATAAAGGACAATAATTATGGATGTTGTTGATTTTTCTATTATATGTATGATCTAGTTTTAAATTAGTTTCAGCTAACTCGAGATATAAACAATAGGCCCAAAAATATGCCGGATATGACGTTGTGCATGTGACTGCACTGATCTTATAGCCATCAGTCTTACATGAACTGCCGATTTACTACTGGACGATCTGTGTGTTTAAACCGATCAAAATAGATATAAGTACAAGTACAAGTACGTCAACGCCAATGTGTAGACGGAACCACCCAAACGACTAGACGCTGTTCCTCAACAGGCCATTCCTCCTGCACCATTGAAACCAGGGAAACCATGTTGGAAAACGCCCAGGAAATATCTCGGCCAACACCGAGATCGAGCCATCGCGATTCCAACAGAATTAATTCACTTGAATATGACTTCTGTGATGATACACAGAACATTCTATGTCACGAGGTAAAGTATTTAACGGAAAATAAATGTATTTTTATTATGTATCCTATACCCGGTCATGGATTGCAACCAATATTGTGATGGATATTTTTCACGAGGCATGTCGGCCTGCTCTTTCTGTGGCACCTGAAATTTAGCTGATCGCTTTATATCCTAAGTCAAAAGACTAAACATATCTCATTTACTTACTTTCATTTGTGTATTAACATATTAATCTGGATGACAGGAAGATGTAATACAGATATTGAGTAAAACCATGTCAGTTTATTGTATACAAACACTGGATGAATGTTAAGAATTGTTGTCTTCCCGTCTACAATATCTAGATAAATAAAAAAAATGGCGAATAAATAAAAAAAGGACAGAATAAATGAAGTTTGATGGTATGCGATGAGATTTAATGACTGATCAACACAAAAATTCGGAAAAGTATAGTATTTTTATTACAGTGGTGACGTGTGGAATACCAGGCGGGAGAATTGTGTACAGACAGTGAAGTTTCTGCCAACTCCTCTTTTAAATAAATGTGTTTAGACCAAGATGCAGTTGGACGAACAATGAAAACAATACGAAACGAAATGTTAGTATAATCATGGACCTTATAGTACCTTTAATAAGGTCCATGGTATAATTTTAAAAACTGTTCTTATGGTATCATTTAAATCGAAAAATATGACTTCTTCCACATAAAAACCCCGGGTTATTTTTCTTTTTTTTTGGGGGGGGGGGCAGGGGCACGGTGGCTCAGTGAGTAAGACGATGGTTCGCTAACCTGCAGGTCCCGTGTTCGATCCCTGTGTTGTCCGAGAAAGTTCATCGGGATTTCCCCCCGCTGTTCCCCCTTGTCAGTTGTGCAAAACAGAGGGTCTTGCAAGGGACAACGTATAGTTGTTCGGATGGGAGGTCCTGTATACACATTAGCGTGTACGTAAAAGATCCCTTGGCAGTTGGAATTCGACATTAGCTCAGTCAGAGCAGAACAATTGGGCGTTAAACCCCATTTCATTTCATTTTTCATATGGCGTCGATAACACGTGCGTTGTTTACATCGGACGTAGTAATACAAACTGGTCCGGGCGGAATAGGTGGTTATCAACGACTGTTGTGAGCGTGGTGATGATTATCACCAACGGAATCTTGATAACGACCTGGTTTTTACATTTTAAATGTACAGTTTGCGGTAGTATGCGTAGTTGGCGTGATCAAGTTGTCAATGTAATGGATTACAAACGACGTGTGAGTGACACGATGACAATAAACAACACACGTCAGTTACCATTATGACTAAACATGATTGGGAGTGAAGGGGTGAGATTTGTTTTATATCAAATCTGTTTTTTTAGTTAGCATAATAATCATGTATACCACACATTCTTTGGAACAGAGCTTGTCAAACGGCTATTCAAATCTAACCTTACCCGTGTCGCGATTTGAATATCGACAAGAACTTAACGACAACCCGATCACTGCGCAAAGGGTACGGCCTTTGTCATGGAGTGATAACCTAAAACGAAACGAAGTATTAATAATATACATGTATATCAATACGGTAAGCAGTCCAATCTTTCACATCTCAATAATTCTTTGGTATATGTGGATTCGACCAATAACACATTTGGTTTCTTTCTGACATCAAAATTGAGCCCCACCCCCCGTGTAATTCAACAAATAATGAACCATAAATTCTCACTGATAAATATATCAATTGATATCAATATCCCTAAAACAGGGCTAGATAGGATCGGTATCAGTGTTATGAAAACAAAACAATAAGAAAGGAAGGCGGTAGGCTTATTAACTTTTTATAACATGGTAGTGTAAACAATAATATAAAAACCAAAGATGAAGATATTGTGGTTCATTCCTGACTAATAAATTCACTTTCGCTTAAATAATTTATGTTCAGTGTAGCCGCAACACAGCAGGTGCTACTGCCATACTGGATCATCTTGACCTCACGACTCCATTTACTAGACATCAGGTCATATTTAAACAAGTCTCGTGTTTCAACTGTTCGGCTCCGTCGGTAATGACCGGGTCTCGTGGGCAAAGATTTGAAACCGCCGCTGACATATATGCAATCGCTGAACAACGTTGACGCCATTATTTTTCTCTCTTCTGGAAAATCTGCCCCGTAGCTCCAACGATTTCTAACCGGATCATATATCTCCATTGTAACGTTATTTGCAAGTTTATCGGCGCCGCCTAGCAGATAAATCTTTTCGTGATAAGTAACAGCATTGCCGTCAGCCCGTGGCCTGAGCAATTCCGTCTGAACAAGCGTCCAAGTATCACGTGAAATGGAATACATCAAAACGGTGTTGAGATAAGCATTATCATCGTCGATACCCCCGAGTACATAAATGAAGTCACTAAACGTTGCCGCGGCATGATGACTAATGCCCAAGGGCATCGGTTCCACTTTCTGCCAAGTGTCCATTTCTGTGTCGTAGAACTCTACATGATCAATGGCGCGACCACGTGGATAAGATGCAGCGCCACCTAACACATAAACACGCCCGTGATAACTGCAGACGGCAAAGGAGCACCGTCCCTGCTGCATTGGTGAACAAGTCAGCCATGAGCGTTCTTGTTGCGCATATTTATAAACTGTCGTCAATGCAGCGCAGTGTTCATCCAGTTTCTGCTTATCATACAGAATACCACCAAGGAATAAAATAGTAGCATCTTTAGCCACGATTAGTTTAAAATAATCAACTTTAAACTGAGAATCGAATGTCGGCTGCTGCTCAATGCCGATGTAGTTTTTGCGCGTGTCTGGATCAAAACATGTAAATGAGCGCGTGTTTTCATGAATGGTGCCACCAGAAAATATCAACATTTTTCGGGTAAACATTCCTTTTCTGAGCGTCGAATTTATTCTTGAGCTACACGTAGACTTGTTGATCACACTAACAAGCAAATCCTGGCAGTCTGGATGACCACGTATCAATCTGTTGGTGGCCAAAATAGAGGTAAGAATATCCTTTTCAATAAGTGGTAGTCTTATCAATTGAAACATAATCGGAAAATATCTTGAACGTGCTTCATAATCAAATTCCACCCAGCGCTCCAAAACCTCAAATACACGTTCTTCCTTTTCTGTGTTCAGTTCGTCGGCAGCCATTAATTCCAGCATGAAATCGAGGTCAATCAATGATAGCGTGTCCGTTTGAGCCACATCTTCAAAATGGTCAAAAATGAACTGTTTTGTGGTGGACTTCAGTTGCTCCAACCCATTGACATCTGCCAAACTAAAAACATCGACACAATTGTCAACGTCCACTTGTGACCCTGTGTGTTCAATACACAAATTTGTCAGACTTTCGATTTGCATCATATTTGCTGCCGTGAGTAGAGATTGGACATTCGAATTGTTTATGTCCACTTGTCCAGTGTAGATATAGTCTACTATTGTAGTCAATGTTACGGGACTGATTTCGTGTAACTGGATTGTCCTTTTGTCACTTTCACAAACCTCCATGGTGAACATAGCCCTATAAAAAACAGATAATATGCGATATTACTTTGCCCAACACATACAATTGATTATAATATATATCAGTGATATATTTTTTAACAGTATAAATATATTGTACAAAAGACTTCGCAACAGGAATCGTATTTATTTTGTTTTCTGTCCACATCAAAATAATGCAAAATAGAAAGCTTGAGAGAAATGCGGACGTATTTAATAAAAAGCCCTGTAATAGGAATATCAGCCTGGCCCTTGAAACCCAAACATGGCATGGTTGTTGGGGCTACTTCGCGAGTCAATGTGACCAAAAACCTTCATCCAGTAGTTGGTCAATTTTTTTAAACGTAGATAGGTGAATATTTGAGCGGGAAGACTGAAGGTGCATTATGTTGTGTAAAGTATTATTTTAGACATTTATTCACTGAAATACCCATGTCACCTCCCTAGATCATCGGATGGCTTAGATAATGAATTGATTAGACCATCCCAGCGTCATAATCGGTTAACGTTAAAATGGAGGTCGCCCAAGAAAAGAACTGCCAATTGAGACTTCATTTATTACCATAGTAATGGCACTGACAATCGCCCATTTCTTGTCAAAACTCCAAACACTCAACTTCGCGCAAAATAAAGTAATTAGACTGAAATTTCAATACATGTATTTTTTATTATCTAGTTCCAAACTACCGTAGTAAGAACTGTCACCTCGGGCTCTCTATCAAAATTTTACATAATGCATCTTTAATGGGCAAACGGATCCCGAGATTTTTATTGGAGAGATTTCAAGACTACATAATGTTAACCTGTTCTAAAGCGAACCCTCGGTCTATCTTGTGATTTACGAGATTTACCAACAGTTCCGCTCAGAGAGCGCCAAGAAGTCGCCGTAACAGACCGTTTCATTGGCTAATTCCTCACAACAATAAGAACGCCTATTATATAACAACTCTTCCCGATCCAGGTGTAGTAAAGACAAGTAAAACGAAATTTTGAACTATAAAAACGAAGCGAAATAAGATCTGTGTTTTAATCTGATTGGATCTCATTTGCATCATTTTGAATCTGTAAAATCCACACCATGGCAGACTACAATACATGGGTTCCGATTTAAAATGTTTAACACACATTTAGAATGGTTTCTGATTTGGAAAAGATTCTTAATTGGGAGTCGCAGCAATCCAGTCCAGGTATCAATCAAGTCCAGGACTCTTTATGCCAAAAATCCAGTTTCTTGTAATTTACTTTTAACACAAAATTCAATAAATTTGCGAGAATTTTATTACTATACCCAGTGGCGTGCAGGAAGGACATTCATTTCACGGGTGTATTCAAATATGAAACTATCACTGTTAACTTTCTTGTAAAAGCTGCCAAACTTAATTTTTGACATACTATTGGAAATGTCTTCCTTTCTCAAATTTCTCATGCTAGGCCACACTTGATTCTTGCACTGGTAATCTGATACCATTGACGTATAAACCTGGGACGTTTAGAAATGACAACTTTTATCATTAAAGATACATTAGTCAAGAGTTTTATAAAGAAATGGCCATTCTTGCTATAATAATTCAAAAATAGATGATAAAAAAAAGAGAAAATGTTGAAAATGTTGAAAATTTCAGTCAAATTACTTTGTTCTGAACGGAATTGTCACTGTTGGAAGTTTGGACTAGAAATAGGCATCAATTGTGTCTGCACCGTCTATGAGAATGGGCGATCGTTTGATTGACAGACGATACCTCCACCCACGTATTCTCAATTATCAAGTAACATCCTCAGTGGCTATGGTAGCCTCGCTTGGACGGCCTTTCATCACCAGTTTCCGGTAGTGACATCGGCGACTAACGGTAAACGTTAGCTTGACCCGCCATTTATTGATTTAATTTTAATGGGACGGCTGTTTAAATCCAAACTGTATCCAAGCCAACCGTGGGTCTACAGAGTTGATTTGAGCTTATCGTGTAGATAAAGGTCTAATTAATAATTTCTATAACATCTGAAGCCTAAATAAAGACTCGCAATAGGCAGGGTTAGCTCTTGCATAATGTATGTTTAAATTGATGTTTAATATGTATAGAAAGTGGTTAGAAATTGTCATTAATTAGCAGGTGTAAAAGCGTGACAAATTATTGAATACACAAACCTGGGGCCTGTTTCACCAAATTTTAACTAAGATAAAATCCAAATTTTAGTAATTTGATTGGATAATATTAGACTGATTGTAGTGCTTAACTAATCAAAATTGAAGTATCTACTAAAATTTGGATTTTATCTTTAGTTAAAATTTCATGAAACAGGACCCTGAACAATAGTGGTGTTTTAACAATAGTCACGGTTTTAACAACTTAGTGACAAAACACCTATTTAATGACTACTGTTTGATTACTAACAATTTTAACTGACTAATACACATTATGTATATAAAATGACGACTTTGATCTGTGTCGTATATTTTTTTTCATATCACCTCGGTGAAAGCGGACGTAAATAATACCACTAACTCACACACACTAAGTTATCAACGATATTAACTTTACAGTGTTGGGGCATACCATTAAGGAGTTTACCCCGGGCATCACAAAACTTCTGCATGCCACTGACTATACCAAACTTTGATATATACAAGATCGTATAGTTCTAATCTATAAACGTCTACAAATGAAACACTTTCACGTCAATATTTCCTACAACACAGTTTAGCCTAATTTGTTTTTCATTACCGAAATATTTCTATAATGTATAGACTACAACAAATAACTAGGTTATTTCTCAAACATCAAAAGTTTGTGTGATAAAGTATAGATCGATCGAAGGAAGTGTCATATTATGTTGTCAAACGTGTAAGTTGAGATTGTTTAACAAGTTGTCGTGGACAGGCATTTTACTTACTGATTGTCCGAAATACTTTGACAGATATTTCTTTACAGTGCATAAAAGATAAGTTGTCAGCCAACGAAACATACGCTAATAGCAGCTAAGTCGTACGGTAGTCAACAAGGGTGTCACATTTTGTTTTTTCAGTAATGAAAACATTTATACTGTATATAAAATTAAAATCAATCGGATAGTAACTTTGGCCTTTAAATTTTTTCAAAGTGGTCAAGGGCCATATCTTTGGCTGTTATTATCGGAAATTGTTGAAAATCAATAGACAACTTCGTCTCATGGCCTTTAACATTGTGTATAAATCTAAATTCATGGGGATTCCGTCAGTGTATTTCGTAATGTTAATCATGCTGAATAATAACTTTGAGAACAAAAAGAAAATGTTTCAAGGAAAGAACCAATAAATACATTTGTGCGGCCTTGAATTTCTACAGAATTCGTGACTAGACTAGCGACCAATCTCGGCGATTTTGTTTTGTTTTGTTTTGTTTTTAAACACAAAAACTCTGACATGTAAAAAAGTCTACAAGTTTAAATGAGCGCAAAATCGAAACGCGACTTTTAATCTCGATTAAATTTTAAGGTCGCAAAGGTTCTTGAAACATTTTTTTTTTCACAAAGTTCACAATTAAAATTGTGACTAACCAAGCTTAATATATGTTTCGTGTATTACCTAAAATAAGGGCTACATGCCGCCAGTATATTTCTGTGACAAGGAACATGTCTATCGTCTGCTACTAAGATAACATCTATTAATTCTTGAGATTCATACAAATCCTTTAATCCGGCTATTAACCTGTCACTGTGGGTCGTCATTATCTGAAATATATCAATATCATTAACCGTAAAAAAAGAAAACCTTTGGGCTCCTTAACGATTCTGATCACACCACATCTGTTTTGATTTCGTGTGACTCAGTTCGAAACGGTCTTGCCTGACAATCGAGCACAGGTTTTTACTGGATTGACACCTTCGGGGGATTGGCAGAATTCAATTCCGGAAGGTTCATTTGAGTACCCCCACTATTTGATTAGACCTAGAAATGAAACCAGTTTTAAGGTCCTCCTTTTCTGTGCCGACTGGGAAAAATAAAGACGGGCATCCGCCAACTCTTATTTCAAATTCCAACAAGAATTATTTTACGTAAACGAGAACGTGTACACGTGACCTCGGGGTTTTTTTACCCATACGAACGACTGGACACTACCCTTGCTAGGCCACACTCCCTGCACCACTGACAAGGAGATACCAAAGGAAATGTCTCGGCCAACACCAGGATGGAACCCTGGACTTGCGTTTTAGGAAGCTATCACCTTAATCATTGAGCCACCACAGCTCCTGGGCCGATTAGAACTAGAATAGGCTCATATACGGTTTTAAAACAGTTTCAGTCAGTATACATGTATATATATATAGAATTATAGGTATTGGTCTTTAAACGGGCATTCAGTATTTCCATGGATTATTGTATTTTGAACTCGCGGTAGGCATTTTGATTTGATATCATTTCATTTCATTATTTATTTATTTTTTTTGTAGAGGTTAGATGAGTGGGATGGAGGCTGAATACTTGACAATTAATATAACTCTGCGGCAAATATACAGGTAACTGAACTCATAGCAGTACTGGCGGTTAGTCGTGACATTTCTAGACGAAATGCATGCTTTGAACGTATTATAACAGTAAGGGCAGCAGAACCGCACTATACGCAAATGAAGTGTAGTGTGAAATTAACAGGAGCAAAGTAATACATGTAATGCCTTATTAATGACGGTGAATAGATGGATGTATTATCGGTATTTAAAAGATTTTCGAATGAATGATTTAATAGCGGGTTATCATAATGACACAACCTAGTATACATTTTTTTTTCTTGTACACAAATCGAAATACCTATTTTAAAACCGCCAATTTAAATAGAAAATACGATTCATATTAAAATATACAAATTTCACTCCAAAATACGCTGCACAATATAAGTAAGCGCATATTAAAACTTACTTGGAAATAACAGGGTACTATTTGGGTTATAACACTTCTCCAAACTAAGACTTGGCACTGTCACTGACATTTGATACACGGATAAGCGTCGTGCCAGGAATTGTAATTAACAATTTGCTATTATTGTAATGGTGCCAGTTAGATCAATCGAGTCTACACAGCTGGTAAATCGAGTAAATTAATCCCCCTAAACCCTTCAAATTGACAGTAGAAACATTTGCAAGAAAAGGTCTATAATATTTATCGACATTCTTCTTCCGATAGTTTTTAAGTGCCGCCGTGTAAAAAGAGTGGAATTATATGTTGTAGTCAAATGGAGTTGAATTGTCTATGTTTAAGCGACCAGCCGGAAACAATATGGCGTAGTATTGAAAGTCGTTTTGCGGTTGTTTTGATATTTTTTCTATTTTGTACAAATAAACCCACGGTAATTTTTTACTGACAGTCGTGGGGATACAAATCATACTATTGGGCGTTAGTATTGGATGAAAAACGGTCATTTTGTTACTCTCGTGTATTTGTTTATCGGTATTCAGCGTGAAAAGGGTCACGCAGTCTTTCCCTTATCAAACCCATCCATGTCTACAGCATCCAAAATTACTCTGGGAGCAGCAGGTGTATTCTGTGTTTCCATTATCAGCTATGTGTATTATAGTCAACAAAATGAACGCGAGAGAATGAGAGAAGGTGTCACAAAAGATATGTTACGACAACAAGAAAAAAGGAAATTACAAAATACTAAATTATTAGAAGAGCAAATTGAATTGACAAAAACACTGAAGCAGATGGAAAAGGAACATAACAAATAATTTTGTTATTCTATAAAGCCCCCCTAAAAGTAACATTTAAATGTGTGGTGGTTTTTTCTAGACCTTTTGTAAAAATATATAAGCTTAAATTACAAGTTATTATTTCTAATATCAAATTGTGAAAAGTGTATACGGTACCAACAGTCACTTATTGCAAAGGTAACAAAAATGATTTCCTTTTCACTCTATCGGCTTAGTTTGTGGATGTAAAAGTTCTCCATATTGAAAAATAAACTGACACAGAATCGGTTCTTAAAATTAATTGAAATTAGATTTGGAACGATTACCCGAGTACCCGTAGCGGATGCGGGTCAGTTCATCCCACAACCGTTTCACCCCGGGCTGTTTCATCCCAACCTAATTTTTTATCGGGCTGTTTCATCCCGCATGTTATTATAATAATAGCAGTCAATTAACTGAGTTGTACTTATCGTTAAATAAACAGTTAAACACTTACTTATTGTTGAATAAACAATAATGTATGGAATAAATAAGTTTTACTCGTCGATTTTTGTTGATTGCCGTTATGATTTTAGATTAGTTCACCGATGTTTTTGTAATAAAGTATACACGTATTGTTTGTTAGTTTATGATGTCTAACATCATTTATCTTTCTTTATAAAAAGGTATTTTATAATTACATATTGACAGCTTAATCACTCACCCAAATACATCATGGACTCTACGTATTACCAAATAATCAACTAAATTGCGCAGGAGCCCCTTTTAAATAAGACAAATTAGATTGATATTAATTCGAAACCATAATTAATTTTAAAACTGATCGTTGATTTAATTTCCGTACACGAAATGAAACTAAACAACTCCAAATATAAGAATTCCGAATAAGAATTCATTTAGAATACCAAAATACATTGTGGTCTAAACTGTGTGATAAATTATAAAATTAATCGTAAACAATGGAACCCGTTGTAAGGTGGACACTGCATGCTTTCTTTTAATGTTGGGTTATTTGAGGCGCCAGGTAGTCTGAACATCTAAAGATAACACGTGTCGAAATAGTGACAACATGCAATTTTATTCTTTGATTGACTGTTCTATTACTGGCAATCCTGTTATGCATGAAAATGACTATACAGTGCATTACAAGTTGAATGTTTTGCTATGAGCATCGCTCGATTGTAAGCGATGTAATTTTAGTGAAATTGATGTTGAGAAATGGTGTGGATTCGGAACATTAACTAAAGCGTATGCAAAGGAAGAAGTTGGACACTATTCATGTTAAAATTGCATTGACATTGTATAAATAAAATATTCGGAAAATAAGCTAAGGCATATTCAAAAGAAGGAGTTGGACATTGTTCATGATAAAATTGCATTGACATATTGTAATTGGTATTAATGTATAAATAAAATATTAAAAATTCATGTAATACCGGTTTTTAAATTTGTGGGATGAAACGACCCAATATTAGTGGGATGAAAGGACCCGCGTAAATTTGGGATGAAACAGCCCGGATGAAACAGCCCGGGAAGAACAGGTAGTGGGATGAAACGACCTGCTCCCCCCGTAGCAAGTTAGGCTTTCTAGTTTATAACCTTGGGTACGGTAACCATACAAAGTGCTGCAAAGACTTGTCAGTCTTACCAATAGAAATATATATGTGATCTACATGTATAAACTTGGGATTTTTTTGTTTAAAGGGCCAATCTTGATTATATTTTGTTAAAAGCCTTTTGATTTCTCTACCTTAGGGACGAGTAACTAACTCAATATACGTGATAGGTTTTCTAACAACTTACATCCGTCAGTCTTCATCTGGAAATGGAGACCGGTGTCCCAAGCTGTATTGTACATGTATGGTGTCTGGATAAAACCAGACTTTTATTTTATAAAAATAATGTGTAGGTAAAATTTACCTTTTGTTATCAAGTACAGCACATGGGTCATGTACTGTATAGACCTCTAAAGGAAATAAGGAATGGCAATAGATTTTCAGGTCACCCAATGGAAAAATTGTCCCGAGTTCTTAAAAGGGTTAAATGTCCGGATAAACGGATTTGACTTTCTTGTCCAAACGACTCAATATTTTGGGGTGAAATTTTGAGACAAGGTAAACACACCATTCCTCTTTATTTTGGTGCCTAAATTGCATCCGTCTAAAATCGGTATGGTCCCTAAAGGCTTTGATCATCAAATGAGAGATTTATAATTCTCGCTAACTACAATATTGTGAAAGTCAAATCTCTGAAAGGAATATAAGTCCCCGAAAAGTTTGATTCAGTATTTTAACATAGATATATGATAAATTGAAAATTTGTCAACATTTGGCAATCCTTTGCAGATGATGTAATGTAAACGAGATATAGTGAAAATATGCAAGCACCACCCATAATCTTTGCTAAAATCTTTTGATGGCCCCCTTTTTAATCTAATTATCTATCCTTTAATATTTTGATTTTGTTTCTTAATCAAAATGTAAAATAATCAATTTGAGTATATTTTAGTGTGAATTAAGCCATAAAAACTTAGATATTGTCAGAAAAATTCAAATGACAATGTGTATCCCAATTCAAAACATAATGTATTGTGACTATAGTCATAAAAGCAAACACTTATTCCAAGGGTTACTTGGTTAGTAGAAATCACAAGACTGTTTTAACAGGTCACATTATATTAAAACAAATTTAAGCTTGGTTTTCAAATATAATAAATTAAAGATACCTTATGTAAGATTTAGATAAAGAACTAGCCATTCTTGCTATAATAGTTTGAAAGTAGATGATGTAAAATGAATAATTTGAAAATTTCTTTCAAATTACTCTATTGCAAGCAAAGATATTAGCCTTTGAAGGTTTGACAGACGTGTGCAATAATTTCAACCACCGTACTGGTTGATCGAAGCTAAGTCTCAGTCCTCAAAGTATCGCTGAACCATTCTAATCTATTTAATATCGGAGAAATCTGATGCCATCGAGAGTTGATTAAGGCCTGGATCAGTTAATTAATGTCTAATTAATACTTTAGAAAACATTTCAGGCCTAAAGAAAGACCTGCAATAGGCAGATTTAGCTCTTGCATAATGCATGTTTAAGTAGATCCTGATCTTGTTATTGCTTTTCTGTTATGTCAGATAAATTAAGATGAGTGATTCAGAAGAGGCAGTAGTCATGAAAAAAAAGAAGCAGCGTCAACCTCGAAACCCTATTGCTGGCGTGAAAGATGATCTTGATTCTTTGATTCAGAAATTCTCTGAATCTGGTACAGTGCGTTATGAAAATTTCTCAAGTGCATGGAAGCAAAAGAAATTGTCAATGATACAAAGTGGACGACAAGATCAACAAGAAGCAAGAGAGGTAAAAAAAAAAAAAAACATGTGAAAGATTCATTATCATTCCCCTAAATTCCAAATTCTGTATTCTTTTATTGAATTAAACTTTTCTGATTTTATTCTGGAAATTTTTTATACTCATGTGTATATATATATATTCGCATGTATCGGACCCAAACTATCTAGATTATGGCCACAGATTGTACGAAAAATCGCTTTTCTGTTTAGCTTGTTCTCTGTCCATCTCTTGCAAAATGTGAGCGTATCTTGTATGGCAACCGCTTGTTCTTTACAATATGGAGCCAGACATTGTTTAAGTTCAGTCGCCGCCATTTTATAATAACACCATGTCCCAAAAATTGGCCATTTGCAAGCTAAATTTGCAGCAACAAGAACATTTGATTGACTTAGTGGAAGAAAAACTGTATTTGTACGCCAGAAAGTAAACATCTGGTTGGGCACACATTTAAATTTTACATGTACAAAGTTTACAAATGTATATGTCACGTTACTTTTGGTGTTTCTTTTTTACTTTCAGTTTTTGGAAGATGTTTTTCGATTAGCTGTGGTTTACTATTTGCCACCTAATAATTTTCAAGTACGAACTGGTGGCTTGTATTTAATGTTTGGATTATTCAATACACAGTTCTGTATTCCACCAGTTAAGGTGAGAGATGAATTAGGTTTAACATCCACCTAAAACAAACTGGGGCATTTAGGGACTCTCATGGTACAATTTCATTTTATTTATTCACTTGCATATAGGGATCTTTAACACTGGGAGGAAACTAGAAGTAGAAGACCTAGATCAAGTTCACAATGTTAGGCAGGCGACCCTAGTCCTTGTCACATACAAACCTGGGATCTAAAACCACACCACTTGACAGACCTTATTATCTAAAGTACTTGCATTAGACCACAACCACCACCACAGGTACAGGTAAAGTAACACAGAATGGGGATCATACTTCTCAAAGTGTTTCATTAGATAAATCTGAACTCATCATAGACATTTCATAGAAAAAGTAATCCAAATGTTGTCTTAGTGAATGAATGGTGAATGGTTTATTTTGAGCTACTGTGGCTTGGTGAGTTTGGGAATTTGGCAGATCAACTGAAAAAGATAGAAGGGGCAGACTTGATATTTTCTTTATACTGTTTCCCCAGGACACCTAGCCTTTCAATAGAAACAATTCTCATAAAATTATGTGTTCAACTTTGGGATATTCTTTTCACAAATGACCTTGCTTATTAAACTGACCATTAAAAAGTTTTGTGAAATATTGTTTTAGTTTCGTATGACACTGCAGATGTGGAAAGATGCTTTGGATTATCAAAAAGAGGCACATAGTCAGCAACATTATGATATAGACTTTGTTTTCCATTCATTGAAAGCTCTAAGTGCTTTTCAGTTTGTTGCTTCAGAAACTGAGGTAAGTTTGTTTTGTCAAGTTAACAACTTTTAAATGTGGACAGATTTTGACTAATTATCAATGATTACTCAAATGAGAGTTATGATTAAAGAAATGAAATGAAATGGAATATAACAATCTACTGTTCTGCTCTGACTGGGCTAATGAAGGAAATTTGACCCAAACAGCTGCACTATGCCCTACTCTTATTTCGAATTCCGACTGTCAAGGGTTCTTTAAATTGCACGCCAATGTGTACACAAGACCTTGTTTTTTTTTTCCCATCCAAATGACTATACGTTTTCCTTTGCTAGGCCCTCTGTCCCACATCACCGACAAGGGTAAACCAATGCAATTTTTACTATTATTAAATCAATGAAATTTACTAATATTAAAAATATAAGCAAACCAAGGAAAATATTGTGATTTGAAAGATTTTTATAATCTAGTAATCGGAAAAAAAAAACAGTTGAAAAAATTAGCATTTACATTTCTATTACCCAAACATCTTTTGAATAATTGCTACAAATATTTGAATAGTAAAATTATGATTTATGTTTGTTTAGATGTACTTAAAGGGAAGTAATCGCCGTAATATTATGCAAGACGTACCCAACCATGTATCAGATGAGGTTTCAAAGATAGATGCTATATTCACTAAAGATCATGTGCGGGTAAGTAAAGCAAATGGATACATCATTTTAATTTTAATTAAAAGTATTAACAGTCAGTTGAGTTTTTGCAATGGTGGAAAAACATAAGATTTGCTTTATTTGTAAATAGATTATGCAATCAATCAGACAAAATTTAAAGAGATTTTCAATAAAGTATGACTTTGGCTGTAAGTCAGTTGGTTTCCATATGGCCCAAATTAGTGATCTAAATATTTTATTCTGAAATGTGTTTGTTTAGTTATTTATAGGTTTTATTCATTGATACACATGGATGCGAAATCTTTTACAGCTGTATAAAAAGGCGTTTAATTATTTCTTAACGACATCAAAAAAGATATATATTGTGGTTGTCAGACAATCCTTCAAAATAATCAGATACAGGAGGTTTTATTTTTGTCAAAAGATTATCTGTTTATTCGTGCTGTTGACAGGAATTCACTTACATAATTACTAATTCTTGATTTACTACATGTCTAAAATCTATTGCATGCTAAGCTGAATTCAAGTTTATTTACAAGCAGTAACTAGAGACATAAGCCCAGATTTCCTAGTTCCAGTTCTAATGTGATTGCTGCTCCATCCATCTCCCATCTTGAGAATAGTTTCAGTAATTTATTTCTCATTACTGGATGTCGTTTTCAGAATAATTGTCATCAACTGAAGAATTTATTTAAAAGATCTTTTAATATGAAACGGACAAATTGATGGTGGTCATTTCCTGATAAAAATTTACAATTGTCTAGTGTTATATATGATTGTCAATAACATTTATTTTGGTTGTGTACTAGAGAATTAAGCCTACCAAACATTTCATAATTCAACCGGAAACATTTTCCTATGTTTTTATCTATTAAAATAAAAAATGGCCATGTGGTTTCTGAGAATCAGTATTTTTTTCCTGTGTGCGTCCTTAATTTATATTTCTATTTTCAGCAATTATCTGCAGTAGATTATCAATATCAACAACTAAAAATTGCGCTTGCTGGACCGAATGCTAAAAAACCTGATATAGCATTGGCTGTTATACAAGATAGTCTGATTGATTCATTAAACTCGTAAGTTAACTATTATAAGGCAAGTGGAATGGCACAGCAAGGTAGATCTGATTAGTAACAAAACGTTTTGTTGAAAGATGTAGGCCTACCATCTGTAACACACAGTATTCCAGCACTTTTTTCCTGGAATTATTTTGTGGAGCAATATATAGGCATTATCCCATTTTTCCATTCTCCTTCATTTGAGTGCCAGGAATGAAAAGAGTAAGGCAGTTTTCACAGGCTACTCACTTTTAGAAAACAACAACAAAAACACTTTAAATGGGAGGGGGAAGAGTGCTAAATGTCTGTCATTAAAATACCTTCATAGTTACATAACTTTTATTAAAAATAAAATACAGATGTGGTGTGATCCTTTGATATTCGCACGGGCCACCTGCCAAATGTACATTATTTATACTAGATGAAATATTGAACTGCCGTGATGAATTCATTGAAGTACATATGCAGGATAGTGTATCTGTATTTGAAGTGGTTTAGTGGTTGTGTAATATATTGATACAATACTCGGGCCAATGCCCTCATTCTGGACCATTAAGCTCACATATTTATCATGATAATGTTTATTTACAGGACCATACAACAACATCAAGATAGAATTAATAAAATGAGAAAGAGAGTAAGTTAATCATTAACCCTTTAGCAGTTAGTACTTGTAAATATTGACCACCCCGTTCCTTAAACTAAGAAAATAGAGAAAAATCTATGAAGCTACTCTTCCTTAGCCTCCTCAATTTGTGCTGTTTATACTGTAGCCATATAGCTCTATTCTTTGGGACCTTAAAATAGACGAAAATGAACTTAAAAACACATTATTGAGTTAGAGGTTTAGCTCCTTCACAAATAAAATACCTTTTCTCTTAGTCTCTAGAGGTCCGGGTCATGTTGTATTAAATTTGTATGCTGTAATTAAAATATTAGATACATGTTTATATATTTTGTTCATGAATAGGATATGGGAGAAGAAGGTAGAAGACAAGAACAATTGGAAAATTCAGATGATGAAGAAGAAGAAGAGGTAGGTTGAAAATGTTCTACTCCTGAATAAATTGTTTGTAATGTGAACATATTAGTTTAGAGGCCACCTTATTCATCAATTATCCGGTTATTGTCCTTGACATAGCTTGATTAAACTAACCAGTGAGCTTGTTGAACCAACTACATCACTTCCAGTTTTAAAAAAAATTTATTTCTGGCTTACACAAACCTTTTTGCTTGTGTTATAGAGGTGATTATTTATCAATATATATTTAAGATTTATGGAAACCTAAATGAAAATCGTTCGTCTGCCCCTTTAATTGATTAATTCCCGATGTCAAACAGAACATGGTATATTTTAAAACTGATCCATGTTTTAATCAGACCAATAAAATTTTGAGGGTGTAAACCAAGTAAAAATGTTTACCCATATTGATATCTTTAGACCTTAAAGGTTGACGGCTAATAGGAAATAAAAGTATTCTCTAATATTAAATAGATAGAAAAATGACTACCAGTCGGTACTTTTATGTTGATACATGTATTTTAGGAAGAAGAAGATCATGGATCATTACGTGCCAAGTTAAAAGCCAGAGCTTACTCTGCAGGAACCTCAAAATATAAAATACCTTCACCACAGAAAACCAGTTCAGCTGCCAAAACAGAGACTGCGAGTAAGTCGTTTCTGACAACAAATAAATTAATGAAAGGAAATGCAGACTTGTTAACAGGCTACTTTCTTATTGGTACACTCTCAATACAGGCAGCTGTCTAGTGAAAACGCCAATTCTTATTCTACTACAGTAGTACCAAATCTACGGGCGGCAAAGAGGGACAAATGCTCCGCCTTCCCCCCCCCCCACCCACCACAAAAAAAGTGCCATTGGATGACAGAGATTCTAATTTAGATTTGTAAATGTGAAGGTCATTCTCCGGGCCCACGATCAGTCCACAATCATGAACCACTGTGGCCTCCTAGGCACATAAAACAATCCATGCAACAATCCATATATATGCACTCTAGGGGATAATAATACATTAGGGTCTAAGTCTTTGAACATCTTCATTAATATGGAAACTGGATGAGTTTAAAAACAAATTTACTATTTGTTTCATTATCCCACGTGGAACGAAATTAGGGAGGGATATTGAAATGGGTTCTGTCCCGATTTCGTTTCTGGAGCATATCTCATAAACCATGCAAGATATCTTTATGAAACTTTGTACACACATAACCTATTTTGCTATTTAGGAATTTCTTGGATTTATATTTGACTTAGTTTTTGGTGTACAATTTTGTTTCCGTAGCATATCTCATAAACCGTTCAATATATGTTTCTGAAACTTTGGACACAACTCAACCTATTATAGTAGTTGTGCCTTTTGCTAATTTGGAATTTCTCGAATTTAATAATTTTTCTGTTTTGACTTAGCTTTTGGGATATAATTATTATTCTATAGCATATATCAGAACAAGTTCAAGATACCTTTTTAACACTTCTACATTCATCAACCTATTGTATTATTTTCTGTTGTCCGTCCTTTCGTCTTGATTTCGTTACCAGAGTATATTTCATTATCTGTTCAAGGAATCTTTTTGAAACTTTGTACAAACATCAACCTATTATAGTATTTTATTTTCTGATGTACAAGTTTATTATGTAACATACAGCAGCTGATTGAGGTAGTGAAGCAATTTGAGTGATTTTTTCATTATCTATTTTATAACTTACCTAATGCCCCTTTAATGTAGATTTTTAAAATAATTATGTTTTCTATATTTGAATATTTAGCTATGGTGCCTATTGGTTTAATGGTGGAAACAGATCACTTAGAAGAAGAAAACAATCAGACAGAATATATTAGTATGCCTGATTTGGGTACCAATGATATAGGTCAATATGATTAAATGAAATTTGTAAATGAAATGAAATAGGGTTATGTCCTACTTCTCTGCACCATCTGGAGTAAGGAAGACAGGCATATGCCACACAGTGTGCTATGAGATAAATTTTGCCTAGCTCTTATACATGCACTCCAATGCGTAAATGGAACCTTACTAACAATTTTTCAATTAGTTGTTTATTTTTATTTTCAGATTCTCCAAAAGGGAAAAAACGAAAATCACCACAGAAGTTATCACATAGTCCAGCCCAAAAAAATAAATCTCCTGCTTCAGAAAAGTCAACTACAAAACATAGAAAAAAGAAAAAATAGCCACAAAAAATTATTTTTAATATGTAGAAATGAAATAAAAATCCCATTTATTTATGTTTTAATTACTTTCACAACAACTACCTACCTAACAGAATTGCTATATCGTTAAGACTGTCTAATTAGTAGTGCAGACAAACTGCACATACAGACTGCAGAAAAAAACAAAATTTAAAATATAACAATGTCAACACAAAATTCGGCTTTACAAGGTGAATCTAAACTGCTAATATACCAGAAGCTATCACAAGAAACTCCACTCAAACATCTTAGTTTGTAGCCAACCTCGTGGGTTTTCTCCGGGTCCTCCGGTTTCCTCCCACGAGCAAGCGAATTATGGAAATAAAATTGAACCATATGTTAGTCCCGAAATGACCTAGTAATTGTGTCGAGTGGACGTTAAACCCCATTTCTCTCTCTCTCTCTCTCTTAGTTTGTAGCAATGGCTAAGGATAGCCAGACAATGTTCACAAGACTGACAATGTAAGCTTCGTGATGGTACGCACTGACGTAGATGAGACTGCATCCTAACCCTAACCATTTAGAAACTATTCAACCCCCATGAAACGGCAGAAAAACACCAAACAATATAACAAATATTCACTGTAGTTCCATAAAATTTTCAGAAAATCGATAAAATTACTATTTGGCTTACCACTGTTTGTCGTGTATTTTGTACACGGTGAACAGTCCATATGCTGATTACACTATTTTGCCTTATTACACTATTTTGCCTATACCGTTTTCTTAGGACTTCGAATTTTGTCTAATGGTTTGGATTGTTCGTACTTGGTTTTATTTTATTTATAACATTAATAATATCTCAGAGTAGCCAAAATCTCGACCAATTCTGGTTAGTGGTTTCTGAGATATCAGCTAGGTTATCACACAGACGCAGGGGCGGATTGGGGCCGGGAACCAGCCCGGGCTCCCGTGTCAGAGCGGCCCCTTTTACTGTCCGCTGAGCCCGGACGAGGGGTCCGGGGGCTCTCCCCCTGGAAAATTTTGAAAAATGAACCCCAAATATGCGATTTGGTGGCATATCTGATTATAATCTCTGTCAAATAGTATATCTCATAAATCGATTAATTTAGGCCAAAACCCCGACCTACAAGTAATTTACAACCATTAACCTGTGAAATTATCATATCGTCATATATTAATTAACGTATTATTATTGTATCGTTAGGAGTCAAGATAATTTAACTGGTCAAAAAATGGGACTAGTTGAGAAAATTTTGACCATTTGATTAACCAGTTAGAAATATTGAATAAGTAGGAATATTTTCATTGAAAAATGTCCCATTTTTGTTGCTGGGAGCTCTAGTTGATTCCTCCCGTGATGGAAGGCCACGAGACACATTGGTACAGAGTGACGAAAGTGAAATTCATGAAGTCTATTATACCAGCCCATTCCAGACTCCAGTGATGGCGTGGCAGCCCGTTAAAGCCACCAGCCACATACAACATGATCATCATCGCTCCATGGCCGGTCCACCCCCATATATTATATAATGTTCAGCAGAAAAAGGTTTTTTAGACGAATTGGACAAAATTATTTTTTTGCATTTTTTGTCCGACCGGCCCTTCGGGCGATCGCCCGACCGCCCGATGGCCCAATCCGCCCCTGCACAGACAGCAATTATGAACCGATAATTGCTATCTGTAGTCGTAAGACTATTTGAAATTCTTGCTTACCAAAAGTGCCACATGTGACAAAGATAGCCACTGCCTTTCTATTTAAATGGAGGATAGTCCCTCTCGCTTTAAGACGATTACATTCCTTTGTTTCGATTCTTGGTATATCTGCTTGCTACTTTTCTTGAAAATATGCCAGAAACTGGTCCGTTAGAAACGGACTCCAAACAATAGTCACAGCTACTTTGTTGAGAATTGCTTCATAATTTTGATGTTGCAAATCCATGTCCAATTGTTAGACGAGGCTTGTAGGCATCTTGAGCATCACGTGATTGGAATTCTTGGTAATGGCGGCCTTTTTTGTCCAGAAAACAGAAAAAACTTTGAAATCAGGCCCCTGTCTCTGTTAATGAGCATGTTTTGAAGAGACCAAATCTCGTTTGTGTAATGCCATAATAGAATTGAATAACTTATTTAGTCGGGACTGACCGTAAAACGAGGCTTAATCTAGCGCTCTTAACCACATTTGCACGTCTCTTCTCTTGCCATGTCCCATATAAAATATTTCAAATATATCTGACAGCGACGAATTACTATTCGGGACCTTCCCCTACAATCATTAGCTTTGCTTGACGACTGTTATTATGATGGTGGGCAGACTGGGATGATTTAAAAATATATGATAAACACCCGATTTTGTTTTTTGTGGGTTAATATGTGAATTTTCAAACGGATTCCGACCATCGCATCCATTGCTCCTCTAAAGCTGTGCAGACCATCTACCCTGCCAAAGGCATGGAGTTGGGCGGGGAGAGGTTGATGGCCGAATGGTTGTATCTTTAAGGTCTGTCATTGAGTCAACTGGCGTGGTTTCTATTAGCGTACCCGGTTGTACACGTGATTTGGAGTAGAGTCGCCTGTCCAACATAGCTTGTGTCGAGTGGACCTCACCTGTCTCGAGTGTTTCAGGAAAGGAAAATGGTGTAAAAATTCACCAAATCAATGGACAAATCAATTCCAGATCATAATAGCCCAGCTATAGAAAGAGGCAAATGCCCACTAGAACTCGTGTGCACCAGTCCGCGGGTTCACTAGTCCACTGGTATCTATTATTGTCATCGTTACGATTGATAATCACATTTAAATGCACACCCGTAACGAACTCTGGGAGCGTGTTTCCTCTTTGACAGTATCGCAGGGCGGAGGACCTGGCAATCTTGAGATAACATAGGCCTATAGGCCTAGTCGTTCGGATGGGACGAAAAACCGAGTGCCCATGTACATATTGGCGTGCACTTAAAGACCGACTGTCAGAACCCAATAAAAGAGTAGACGCTATCCGGGCAAAGTTTCCCTAGTAGTACACTGTATATATCACATGCCTGTCATGATTAACCCACTCGGAGCAGAAAAGTGGGACGTTAAACCCCATTTCATTCCATTTAATTTTCCTTCTTTTCTGTCGGTTCACACAGCTGTATTCCGTGCCCCTCACGTAACATTATTATTAGTAGACCCCTACACTTTTAAAGTAGCCGTCCCATATTAATTTACTGAATCAAAGGGGATAATTTGACGTGGTAGACCCCCATAAACCTTCATCCCAGTCATGTACAACTAACTACCGTAGAAGTATAAATTACAATTTTCCATGTGATTAGCTAGAATCCCCAAATTACACAGGCATTCCTCTAGATAGCCATGTGCCGGCCCTCATACTTGCAAAAGTTATACATGTAGCCTAGTTTGTTGTAATAGTAAGTGCAGGGGGACTGCACCACACAAAATTTACACAAAAACAAATAGACGGCAAAACATCATACTCAGGAAAACACAAACATACAGACAATTCAAAAAAAGTGAATGGATCCGGGGGCTAGCCGTAAGCGTCCACTGCGCTGTACAGTCCCGGGTCTGTAGTGACACAGACTTCACTCAAATTTGAAAACAATTAGGAATACAACGGAAGCAATTGTCAAGTCACTCACAGAATTCAACGATGGAAGTCTTCAAATGAATAACGCAACTAGCTTTTTGGGCTGTTTTGGCGTTTAATTTGTATGTTCCTTTAATCAGACAGTAACGTGCATAGGTCTCATTTGGGTTTGGGCCCCAAACTAAATTAATGTGACTGATGATATATATAGTTTAAATTCTCACATTTCTCGCAAGGCCTGTTATTAGGCCCTATGCTTGAGTTTTGGGGACACACAATCAAGTTGTTGATTCCGGGCGTCACCAAACCCCCGCACGCCACAGCACTGTGGTACGCTTCGGATGAAATACAAACTTTCAGTTTCCATATTTGGTTGACGAAAAGTCCCAAAGTAAGCTGAAACTGGCTGGATTATATGAGGCATTTTTTCATATTCGGGCGTTTCATTAGTATCCGGTAATTAAACCTATCATAAATCTTGAACTGTTCCTTTAAATTTAATTTTTACATTGTGGAATTTATTATGTAAGTATAAGCTAATTTCTTCTCGGAGTAATTTTGTATTTATTGTTGTTGAAAATCATTTTGAATTTTATTGTTTTACAGATGACTAGGTTATAAAAATGTGGTTAAAAAAGAGAAAACCAAATTCACAAACGACGATAGAAGTCGGGGAACATGACCAAGATTCTAGAAGTAGTATGAACGTAAGTTTAACATCGCATCTGACCAATAGTAAACAAATACACATGAGTAAAGTAATTGAATTCTACAGAATTGTCTTATTTCCAGTTCAATTACATGCAATTGAAGCAATTTATCAGTCGCCAACAAGCTCTGTCTGAACTAGCCTCTGCGACAACGGGTGCCCAAATATTTGTTTCTCTTAGGGGCAGTTAATATTTGAATGGTCTCACTAGTCCCTACCGAACTGGTATTTTCTTGGTATGGCATTACTATGTTATGTAATAATATTCATTAAGGCAGGGCCGTATTTAGCGGGGGTGCGGGGACATTGCACCCCCAGAAAAATAAGGCGCCCCGAGAAATTGCGCCCCACCCCATCCAAAAAAACAAAAATTATTTGACAATCTTTTAATTATAAAATAATACAGTTGATTTTTGATTATGATCACTCAGTGATGCTCTTAAGGCACTGATCAGTCGATCGGTTTTAAGGGCGCCCACACGCCAATGGGTTTGTTTGCCCTGATCGAAACTTTCTTATATCACATACGTGGAGGCTTTGGCGCCCCACCACTCTGCTGCACCCCCACTTTTAAAATCCTACATACGGCCCTGCATTAAGGCGCATGGAAATAAGAAATTGGTTTCTGGGAATTACTTTTACCGCCTAGGAGTAAGTTCACTGTAATTAGAACACACAGTAGCTATATCACCTGTGCCGATTACGTCATCGTAGTCACATCCGCCCTTTTCATACAAGTTTATTGTCTTCACAGTATGGGTAATTGGTTTTTATATTAGGTTGTTTCCGCGTCACAGGTATCTCTGCGCCGAAAACTGTCACTAGCCCAGTCCTTCTCTCAAAGAGTGGTCACAGAAACTCCTCATCTCGATCCAAGAACATCTGATACCTCCTGGGGGCCATCTGTAGGACAAAGGGCTGATGATAAAACGTTTGAAGATGACGAAGGAGACGAAATTACAGAAGCAGAACTTCAGCGTAAGCGGTACGTTTAAATAAACGTTCTAATATAAACGTGGTCGTATATTGCCTTCACCTATCCGCTCTTCTGTCCTTCGCATTTGTTATTAGAACAAAAGAGTATACAATAATCCATATGACTTTGATATGGGTTGACTGTCTCGTTGAACTGCAGACGCCCGTTGTTAACGAATATCGATGATAACTTCCAACATTATTCCCTTCTCTTATTAAATCGTGTTATCTCTTAGGAGCTTCAATTATCATCTCATCTTTCTTAAATTTAAATAGTCTATCACGTTTCTTTTTAGTTCACTAATTATTAACTGATTGTTTATATAACTTGACTTGTTTAGTTAGCTCATAACTATTTGGACGACTTACCTGTTAATGAGCGTATGTTTAGTTGCTTGGCAAGCTATCTTTTGAAAATTTACTTTTTGCTCAACTTCTATAAACTAAATCTCTTTGATTTAGGTCTGTTTTAAATAATGTTGAATTATCTCGATCTGGCGTGTTATCATGATTACTGGTTAAGCAAGCTCTATACGAATATTCTTTTGCTTATTTATAAAGCTACATTTTATCTAGGGGGGGGGGGGGGTGGATGGCCGAATGGTTAGCACGTGCATGCTGTATTATAAGGTCTGTCAGCATTGAGTCATCTGGCGTGGTTTCTATTCCCCGGTTGTACGTGTCCAACCTCGTGGGTTTTCTCCGGGTCCACCGGTTTCCTCCCACTGCTAAAGACCCCGTACTCTCTCTCTCTCTCATTTCATCTAACTATCCCACACTCGTGGAGTGTTTTGTGATTTGGCCTATAGCGGGCCTGATAACTGACAATTATATTAATCTATAATAATTGAATGTTAAGTGTATAAATCTTGGGTTTTGTTTACAATATTTGGCCGTTTTGTGTTATTGTGTGTTCATATTATGTTTTTATTATCAGAAGTAGAGTTATAGAACGTGAAATGAGAAATGTACGAGCTGAAATGGGCTGTTTTGCACTATTTTGGTTTGACTTTAAGGTGAGATATTTTATTAATATTGAAAGGAAACCCACGACAGAACACCTGATTATTGCTTCTTATTTGCACCTTTCTCTTGTGGCTTGTCATAGAACGTACTCCGTTTATGATTTGGTTGATTCCCAAGGCTTACCCATACCATCACTCTCAATGAAAACATATTAATTGGTCTCAACAATTTGAACAGACTGAGCGTATTTTCGTGATTTCTTGAAAGCAAGTTAGAAAACTAATTATAATAATTCTGTACTTTTGTTTCTGTCTGCTCTGTCATTATTTTGTTGTGCAGTTATCCCGCGTTGTCTATTGGATAAGATATATTATTTTGACCGAAAAAGAACTGAAAAATTATGTCACGTAGACATAAAAAAAATAATAACCACGCGTCATTCTGTAAACGATGGTAAGTAGAATCGTCATTCGTTAAACCCTGAGCCTTTTATTCTTTTTTTTTAAGAATGAGACTTTGAACTTCAAATGTGAAATTGCCTTTTCCTGACTGGAGTATGATGACCCAAAGTTGGTGTGGCTTATAAAATTTATCTATTTTTCGTTTAAACAATACAACATGTTATGGAAAATATATTTTGTGATCCCGTATGTTTTTGATAAATGGTATAGCTACGAAATGATTTTTTCTGATTTTTTTGCAGACATGGTATAGACGCTGGAAACATAAAACATGTGAAAACCCGTTTCTTCGTTCATATATAAAACATATAGAAAGTAAGATATCTATTGATACATTAACACGCACAGGGTCATAGATGAATCAATTCTTAATATACAAAAGTGTATGTTCCACCGATATTTCAGTCGACGGATGCATTTTATAACAAAGGTAGTTCCACAATCGTCTTTAATAGTTATTTTTGCCCACCCCCCCACCCCCCGCAAAAGCCTAATTGGATTGATTAATGCATTAAATTCCATTAAGTATAAAGATACGTTTGTCCGATTTATCCAAAGAATCAAAACTTTGCTCGATCCAGTCTGATCCACTCGATCGATGATTAAGTCGATTAATACCAGTGGGAATTGACTTTAAGTTTGCTTTATACAGTTGACTAAACAATCTCACATGTCTTGGACAAAATGTTGAATGTGAAATAAAAATCGAAATGTAAAATTCTAATCTGATGTGTATGCTACAGTGCAGTCTCAGTTGGGCTTATTTTGAATCGAAAAATAAAATCTTTAATTTGAACTTGTATCTTTCAGGAAATTTTGGTTCTGGAATTGGTGCCATGTTTCTATTTAGTCGCTGGATCATTATGTTAAACGTGCTCCTGATAGTAATGTGGTCGAGTTTTGTTGTGATTCCAATGGCCATTAATTTTAACTACGGTAGTTTGGTCGAGCCTTTTGCCTTCAGGAATATAGTAGATGGAAAAGTAAGTTTGTCCGATATCGAAAAGCAATGGGTTTCGAAAGATGTAATTGTCTCAAACCGTTCCGTTTTATTTTAAGATTTTCCAATTATTTTTCGTCCGAAAATCGAGTATTCCGGATAATCCGCGACTGGAAAAACTGATCGCAAAATGCTCATACATATGTCTGTCATTTAATGATGTAATTACATACCCTCGATGTTTGATTTTGTTGTAGTAAATTTCACATGGTAAATTTCGACATACAGGGTAGTCGCGGTCGCTCAGTGCCTAAGGCGCTTACTCGGGTTCGCTCCCGGTGTTGACCGAGAAATTTCATCGGGATCTGACGATGGGTTTCCCCTGTAACAGTGTTGCAGGACGAGTACCTACCTGACAAGGAACAATGCCTAGTGTATACGGTTGTGTGTACGTAAAAGAAACATTGACATTTGGAATATACAGGTGACCATAATCACCGATGACTATACCTACTATAGTTCGTTTCTAAATATAAATGTCGAAACTAGTGATCTTGATCTAACAGTTCACTGGGTTCTATTTTGTATTTTCCTTAGCTAAAATGTTGCAGGTTGTCTAGCATTTTATTTTTGTATCTACATGTATTTTTAAACAAATTTTTTTCAGGGACCAATATCAAAGTCTTGGGTATTTTATTGTGCCTATGTACCTAGTTTTAAAGCGAATGGTGGATTTTTAACAGATTTTTATTATCATATAGGATTAGCGTATCTCATCACTATACTTCTAACTTTCTTTGGGGGTCTATTTATCATCCTCAGAAAGTAAGTGATGTTATTAAAGTTATGTTATTAATAAATTATATTTCTCGCGAACGGGCAAAATAATCTACTGTGTTCTTAATCATGTCAATACAAATTAAATCTTTGTCTGCGACGTCACTACCGTGGAAGCAGACATAAACTCCAACCAGCCAGTCAACCGTGTTTTTTTTAAATGTTTTGTTTAATTTAATGTTATTTTGGAAGATTTTAATCCCGGGCCAAAAATAGGTAGCTTTTTATATATCAAGAAATTAATTGAAAATAATATTTTAAGAAATTACGGGTGCTTATTGAGATTGTGAGAGGAGGATTTTTGCGAGTCGTTTAATATTCAATCAGATGATATCTCAACACTATTTAAACATCTAAAATTTTCAGAGAATATCATTTGAACTGAATAAAACAGATGACCGTAACTATATTCCTGGCATTTGTGTCGACATATTAATTTTGTCAAAGAGTTGAGTACAAGAAACATATGAGTGATAAAAACATTTTCCGGTCAGGGTTTTTTTTCAAGCCCAAAAAACATATACTATACTACTTGCGTTTTAGGCCAAATACGCCTTCTACTCAAAACCATCAATACACTTTAGATCGATGGGTGGTTGAGGCACATTGTCTCCTTGTGTTTGTTTTGAAGCGAAGTTTTATGTTTGTGTTTCTCTTTTTAAAATTAAGATTTACTTTTTAGCATGGCGATGGCTCAACAACCTAGTCCGTCAGCTTCAGCCAATAGCAGGTATCTTTTTGCCTTCATACTGTGGTCGTCTTGGGATCATTCTATTACTTCAAAAGAAGCGGCTAATAATCTCCGAAAGGGAATTACAAGCGCTTTAAAGGTAACAAAAATCACAAACCGAGACATGAATGTACTCGATTAGAAATACATCTAGGCCTACACATCTAGTAATTTTTGTGTTGTGATCTCGATTGTCGAGAAAATAATATATACTGTAATTTAAAGATTTTTAAACACCGCCCAATATTCTTAGACATAAAATAGTGTGAAAATAAGAGAGACCACACCACCCCTGTAATGCGTTTATATGTATTAAATAAAAACATCACACATCTTTTATTTGTTTTGTATTCCTCTGCTGCTATCCTCATCTGATTTTGATACATGTATTTCTTTTCTAGGATAATATGTATCAATCGAAGGCGGAGAAACAGAAAGTGTTAAAGAAAAAAGAGAAATGTTTGTTAATAATGAGACGTGTTATAGCTTGGGTGATTACACTGTAAGATCTATTATTTTAAATTTGTTGTACTAACTTCGTGTATACCCTGGTGTGCTCTTAAAAGAATCCATGAATTCAACAAGCGTACGATAAGGAGAAACACTTCGGACACGAAGTCGAAAAGTAAAGCATCGTCCTTTTTCATAGTCACACTACAGGACAGTAGTGCCACATAGTCGATTTGACTCGGGAAGGACAATCTTCCTGACCGTAGTGGCTAACAATTCTCATTTATTTTTAAAGTTTGGGTAACTTAATTTATGATGCGCGTTTGTTGTGAAGGCGAACATTGCATGTAATATTATGTCTCCCCTTAGACCACAGTCAAGGCATAGCTTTTAGAAAAAACGTATTTCGTGTTTTGCTGCTTTATATTATCTGTGGTGTATATTTTCAGTATATTAGTTGGTGGCGGATGTGCAGCTATTACATACTTAGTTCTCTTTGTGAATATGGCTACAAGTAATAAAATATATGTTAGCAATATAACAGTAAAATGGGTAGATCTAACTGCTGTAAGTGTTTTTTATTCCCTCAAAAAACGTCATTGAAATAGGCTCCGTCCAGGCCGTCATCCCATTTTCATTGCAGAATATGTTCAAAAAATGTATACAGATCATTGTACAACATCCGAAACATTTGCCAATTATATTTGTGTTTCCATTGAAACGAATTGTCCCGAATCATACTCTAGGTATCATAATTGTGTCTTTTCGGAACTTTGAACATGAACAGACAGTATTTATGTTAAGCTCGAATAAATGATTTATGTTTCTATTAAAAATGATATTCACAACTATGTGGGATAATATCTGTCCCCCATACTTGCGCATCATTTTAAACGGTGTGTCGAGATGGACCGTGACTATGCCAAATGTATCCAAATTCATAATTTTTGGATATTTATAAATACATCAAAACGAACCAAAACTTGATTATTTTAATCAAATATTTGAATGGCATTACTATTAGTAAATAGGTAAGTCATTAATCAATGTGGATTTTGATTTTTTTAGGATACTGATTTTCTACGTACCTATGTATTACCTATAGCTTTTAGTGTGATCAACATGATTGTACCATTCTTTATAACTAGGGTAAGACTATTTAATCTTCATGGTTTTGTTTTGTTTTTGACTCTTTGTATCAAGTGACCTGATCAGATTAAAATATCTATGCGAAACATCAGACAAGAAAGAAACTATACCTCGCAACTGACGTTTTTTTTTAAACTATGCCTAAAGGTTTCAGTCTCAGATTACAGAGTGTTTCTAGTATAATGACGTTTCTTAACAGGATAATGTCGGGTTGTGCCGTTTTCGTGTCAGTGTGTGAGATTGGTGGGTGTTTTTGCTGGGCTTACTCAGCCACAATTTGAATCACTTAATAAACAGTCTGTGCTGGGTTCACGTTAGAGTTAGAGCCGTTTGGCAGGGTTTTTGGTTTGTTTTTTTTTTGCTGGGTTCACTTAGCTACAATTTGAATCACTTGGAATAGTCTGTGCTGGTCTCACGTCCAGCAGATTGTGTGTGAGACTGGTGGTAGGGTTTTTTTGTTTGTTTTTTTTTCTTGCTGGGTACACTTAGCTACAATTTGAATCCCCTAGATAGTTTGTGCTGGGTTCACATCACTGCAGTTTGTGTGTGAGATTAGTGTTTTTTTGTGCTGGGGTCACTTAGCTACAGTTTGTGTACTTTGTAACTGGTGTTTTTCTGAGCTGGGGTTCATTTATATCTACAACTTGAATCATTCAGATTGTTTGGATTTTAATTTTAAGAAACTGTACATTTAAATGATGGGATTACCCGTGCAACCTTCTTATACGGATTGTTAATGTAGCATCGTTTATTACAATGTAACCGTGGAAAGCAGATTTATTTTCAATTTTGAGACACAGAAAGTTTCACTCAAAATTAAATCGAAAGGTAGACCCTATACCGGTATTCAATATGGAAGAACACTTTCGTATCTTAACATTTAAATAGGCTTTGGGGACTTTAATCTCCTGTCAAATTTGAACTTTTAACGCTTGAAGACTCGATAGAGGATAAAGTTGTCAATGACATTTTTAAAATATTAGTGACATTCTTTATTTGGTTGTAGGGCGGAATTTCTTTTCGAAATTCAGAATTTTTGATTGCAAATTACAGCCCCAACCCCACGCGGATTGGCTACGTACCAATTCACGAAATCTTGTGAACGCGATACAGTACATAGTTTTCAACCTAATTTGTAAAACTTGGTGAGACTGTAAATTGGGACAAGAACCTTATTGAATTTGGAAATATTTGGATCTTAAAATCTCGAACTCGTTTCACGGAGTTATCTTTCTGTTCACACTTTTACTTTTAAAGCTTGAGAAAATATCCCGGCGGATTGGATTAAAACTTAATCTGTGGGGTCTGTTGACAATAATTTAAAGCTACCATTGATGACATTGGTGGTCTAACAATTCCCCCATCTATATTTTCAGATTCCAAAAATAGAACAGTATAAAACAGGCCAATCAGAGTTAAATGTCACTATAGGAAGAATATTTTTATTACGAATGGCCAATCTGTTTGCCCTTATAATGTCTTTGTATAGTATGACATCAACATCATCTTCCGTGAGTATTTAGTTGACGTTAGTATTAATCATGTACAGTTTTTGGAATTTCCAAATTTAGCCACTGGCGTTCTAGACACGTATGTACGGGAATATTAATATCTCCAAACATTGAGATGTTTGGAGGTGTTGTTTTTTGAAGAGACATCTTGTACTGATATCTGTTTTTTTTTTTTATAAATATAGGCCTTTGTTGTACCCCACTCTTCTTGACCCAGGTCTGACAGACTCTGGTCAACACAATATTTCAGTCATTTTGAGACGGATATATGGTAATTTTCATCTCAGTGGTTGCAGACGGGGGAGGGGGTGTATTGACCACTCATTATCGAATTACTGTTGCCAATTGCATGCCAATGTGTTCACGGTGAAACCTCGGATTTCGTCCCATTCCAACGACCAGACAAGTTTTCTGTGACTAGACTAGCTGTGCATGATTAGTTAAAACTTGATTTTATTTGATTCTCTTCGCCAATCAGGTAGCCATTTTTTGGCGAAATGGCTACCTATGGTGATCAAATCGTTATTTTGAATTCGATGGGAAGTTCAGGAAAACGACGAAGATTGAATCAAGTGCATCGGACCCATGCTTGTATAATAAGCAGGTTTAACTTTGGCATGGGAGATAACTCTTCCATTACCTATTGTCTCCCCTTAGACCACATACTCCAAATATTGTACAAATATACTATTCATTAAAATTTTAAATCTCTATTCTTTCTATGATCAACGTGCATAAAACTGTAGATATTTCAACGAGTTTACTTTTATCTTTTGCTCCAAAGAGTTTGACTGACACTGGATTGTGTACAGGAACTGTTATAGGCCAAGAAATATATAAACTGGTTGTCATGGATACTATAATACACGTAAGTAAATGAATCTATTTTCATGGTTAGTAGAGAACCTAACAGATGCTTCCGTGTTGTCTCTCAGTGACCCTGTCTAAAAATACTTTCCAATTCCGACCATGTAAAACCAAAATAAAATATGTCGTCTGCAGTTAGCTTAATTATCTACCGTAATGGATTGGTGTGGAAAATACGATCCGCAACACATATGGCTGGATTAGAAGCACCAACAAAGACAATTTATGTCACGTAATATCAATAACTAGCAAGTTATACATAAAATACCAATAAGAAATTTGCATTTTCGAAAATGACAATAACCATAACACAATAATAATACTGTAAACATTTTGGTAAATAAATAAACTTTATTGTAGACTGTTACATCATGTTATATCGAATTAATTAATCATGCATGATCAAAGGCGGTAATCGAAATTTGAATTGATTAGCAAACATGTATCAAAACTACTACACACTGCTAACCAAATGTCGATTGTGTTCCCTGTTTGTAAGATTTTTCTAACAGCCAAGCAAAACTGTCTTGGTCTAGCTGGGTAAAACTTTACCAACAGATGTGCAACTTTGGATCCCTATGTTTACTGTTATATTAAGAATATTGCATTTTGATATTACTTACATCCCACTTCTACTCGTTGCCACTGGAAACCTTTGATAAAACTGTCCTGTTTATTTGCAATACATGCATAGAAGTATCAGAAATGTACAGAAAGAGTACTGTTCATTTTTGATACACGGATACTTATATACCGTTTTAGATACCTATCAAGCAATAAGTAGCGGACGTTTAGTCCGACCCAGATCGCAATTGATAACGATGGCTCTATACCATGTACATGAAACAACTAGTCAAAATAATAGTAACAAAACAAAATGGGGGGAACTACATGGCAGTTCAAAAACATATACAATGACATTAAATTAACATAACAACATATTACAAAAATCAATTATTATACATATCAATTGGCATCTATTTCATAATTTGGTTTGATTTATATTAATATGCAAAATATATAAATTACAATATTGAACAACTATTTTAATTAATTGTGATGATAGAAGGCGCAGTTTTCTTGCTGGACACTACACAGGCATTGAAAATAAGCAGGATGAAAAAACGCCTAGAAAGTCATAAACTTTATTACAAATAAATTTCAACGAAAGAACCATCCGCCGATCCATACTTTCACCAGGAATGACCCACGTTTCGCATTTCCTTTACACTACATTTAATAATATCGCAGTCCTCTACGCCATAGACAAGTTGTTTTGACGATGTGGTCTAAACAAACACATGATTGTTTTACGCTCAGAGTATCATAGCAAGACACACGTGTAAATACTACTCAGGTCGTTTCACCACTGCGAAATCATTCTACCATGAAATGTAACGTGAGGCTCAGAAGCAGAAAGTATTTGTCACTTTTCGGTTGAAACGACTCAATAATAAATACTATTTTTCACATTTTGCTTCACAATACTCGATAGAAATGTGATGTAAGTAACTTATTAGCACCTTTCCTCGGTGTATCGGTGAATATCAGGACAGTTTTGGTCGGGAGCCGCCTCGGCTGCGCCCCTCGACCAAAACTGTCCTGATATTCACCGATACACCTCCGAAAGTGTGCTAATAACTACTACATATACCAGTATATTCACTGTGTCTAGTAAATACAAGTACTTGGTTATGTATAATAATACTAGTATTTGATTGTCTATATATAGGACTTGGACTTGTATTCTTGCTTGTTTTGTTTTTTTAAATCATCATGGTTTATTTTCACCAGACTTGATGTTGACAAGATAGTTACTGGTTTCTGTTAGGTTTGATATTCGTTCTCTTCTCTTGGTTTCAAAACTGCGTCTTAGTTGGAATTTGCGGGGTGGTATATACTTGCTTGCCATTCCTCACTAATTCACACTGCTTTCCTTGTAATTCTTAAAAATAAAGTTATGCTTTATGATTGTGGTGAACATAACATCATACAATTATATTGAGGGAGATGTATTTTAGTGAATAAAAATGGCGAATACCATTTGTAGTAACTGTTGAATGGCCCGAAGATACAATTCAACTTTAGCGATTTAGAATTTCTGGATATATATTATGGATGTTTAGTACTGTATAGATGATGTAATATTAACCCTGAAAGGCAAAAGTATCCCATACTTTTATATAGCCAACTTGCTAGCAACCCATTATTAAGAAAAAAATTATTAAGCTAGTTGAACCAGATGTTCAGCGAATATACAGTAATTGTACGAAAAGTGTAATGCAATAATTATTCCTGGAATACCAATGCTAACATAGAATTGAAAACATCTGGGGTAGGGATTTATTCACAGGAGAACAGTACTTACCGTATATAACGATTTAATCTATTTTTGTTTAGTGTGAAGTTAGCTTTAGTCTTTGCGCCTATCTTCCAGTCCTCGCTCCATATCTAAATATCGTTCACTTTCTTGAAGCAATGGTGTAACCGCTTCTAAACTCTCAGAAGTATCAGGAATATAACCTGGCAAGAAGAACTCTTGAGACATGACAGGGACAGTTCTTTGACCTACAGTGGCTCGCGGTCGCCAAGGTCTTGCTTCACACCCAACAGTTCTAGCAAGCTTGTTCTTTCTAGCTCGGGGATGTTGGATGGCCGAATGGTTAGCACGTGCGTGCTGTATCATACGGCCTGTCATTGAGTCAACTGGCGTGATTTCGAATCCCCGGTTGTACGTGACAAGGAGTAAGGTCGCCTGTCCAACCTCGTGGGTTTTCTCCGGGTCCTCCGGTTTCCTCCCACTGCTAAAGACCCCTACGCGCAAGCAAATTATTGGAATAATTGAAATGACCTAGTTTGTGTCGTTAATGGCCCGCCTGGATACGGGATTTGTGAGGAATTGTGACAACAAAATATGATGACTCTGGTTAATACAATGTTGGTTTGTGGAAGACTTGGGTCCTCTTTGTAGTTGATTGCTAGGGTTCTCGTTTGACAATCGATTGGGGGATTTCTTGGGACATCAAAATCTTCTTCATCCCCATCAGTGGATTGACTTTCGATATCAATCTCCACGGATTTCAAACTATTCCTGGAAATAGAACGGGAACTTCCAATATTAAAGCTATTTGTTGATGTTTGGGGACTAGTTCCAAACGCTTCCACGTGTACAGCACTCTGATTTACTTGTTGCAAACGTAAAACATTCACCGATTTCTTTGAAAAAGTGCTGCATTTCAGAGCATTTGGCAGAGTAAATGTGTCCCCACCCCAACCCCCATAGCTGGGTTCGCATTGAATTTAGCCTAAAAGTATAAATTTTTATAAAAATTGATTTTAAAATCAAAATGAAAAACTGAATTTTATTTTTGAGAAAAAAAGAAAAACCTTTGCACGGAAGCTGAAATACTAACTATTTTATTTTTAATTATTGGGGACGAATTATATAACGACATTTTCGAGAATATTGGAAACCCAGTATGGTAACCAGATTTTCCATGTTTGATCATTTCATTTTACTGAGTAATTATTTTGTTGTTCTTGTATTTTTAAAATTTGCTTTGGATCGCATTTAGTAATTGGAACATAATCAAATAATGCACTTTTTATGGAATACCAATTACATGTACTATGGTTTATTTTACTGTGACTTGTGAAATCTTGTTGAAATGTCCCAGTAAAATAAACCATAGTAATTGTTATTCCATAAAAAGTGTGTTATTTGATTATTTTTAAAATTTTAGACACTGGTCAAGTTAATTATATCATTTGGAATGTATTACTGGAAGAAAGTAAAGACAGAATTCGACATTCCATCCGCCGTATTGGTACTCATCTACAGACAGGCTTTAATATGGGTAAAACATATTGTGTTGTTTTTGTTCTGGTTATGGCATTAAATATCTTATTCTAAGGGGAAAAATGAAAACAGGTTTCATAGGCGCATCAAAACATCTGTGGGTGGTAACGTTTAAAAAGTAGGAATCGTCGATGATAAAGTAGACTCTGAGATAACTTGAATTGATATATTTTGAGTTGACGCTTACGCTAGGTTCCCACTATCACGATTCGTGCTACGATTGAAATCGTGGTTTTAATCGTGGAGTTATCGCGGTGATCTTATCAGGTCTTATAATATATTGAGGTCAGTCGTAGCAATCGTGTTCATCTTATCGAAACGTATCTGCACGAAGCAGATCGTGGACAGTCCCAATCTGATTAAAATTTCGTTTTACTTGTCTCCACAACACTAGGATCTGGAAGAGTTGTTATATAACAGGCGTTCTAGTTGATGTGAGAAATTAGCCAATGAAACGGTCTGTTACGGCGCGTTCTTTTGACGCGATAGGGTCAAAAGCCGCTCGTATGACCCCCAGACGCGACCTCCCAGTACAACTGGTCAGATTTAGGTGTATTAACGATAACTCCATTTAACTATAAGTAGTGACGGGTGTCATGCACAAAACAGGATATGCTTTCTCTGTCTAGAAACCTTGTATCAGTTTTCATCCATTTTATGAGTTTATGGAACTTACAATTATTGGCTGTACTGATTGATTTGAACAGCGGAAATTGTGACTATGAAGCAGGGTATGTTTACTCTATCAAGAACACCTGATATCAGTCTTCATGTACTTGAGGCTGCTATTGTCGTTGTATTTTTAGTGGTAATCAGTTATGTATTTGTTTTTCAGATAGGAACTATGGTGTGTCCTGTACTACCAATAGTGGGGCTTTTCTCAGCTCTCATATTTTTCTTTCTAACTTACGGTATCGTGCGTCATACATGTAAACCACCCATAAAAAGATGGCGACAGAGTAGACGAACATTTTTCTTTATGAGTTTTTTGCTGTTATCGTTACTGTGTGTTATTATTCCCGTCTCTATCATTATAGGAAGGTAAGTTTAGCGGTACTCGTTTCGAAAGCAAAGAAATATAATTTAACGTCTCGTCAATGCCATGCTTTTTTTATATTTTCAGACTACAATATCACCTGTTTCGAATGGTTAGGTCATTATTTAAGGAAGAGAATTTTGCGTCTAATTCTAACTGACAAGTGGTTCTTTTTCGTGCAAGTTAATGTGTACATCCAATCATTGATCCTTTAAAACACACTGCCCCCCTCCCCATTTCAGGGCTTCTGATGGACCATGACAATGATATATTTCCTTTTCAATTTGATAAATGTCTGTCTGGGTTGTTTTAATGTTAAGGAAAATTGATTTATTACTTTGATTTCAGTACCAAAGTAAACCTAGGCACCACAAGTAATACTAATGTTTTATTGGGACCATTTCGATCCAGTGTTCAACCTACTTCGGCATATTCTTTATTTGCTAACAGTCTATCTGTTTATTGGTTGAGAGATTTTCTACTATGGATGATATCAAATACAGTTGTTTTACCTGTTTTCCTTATACTAGTGTAAGTTTTGTCTAATGATACATGTAGATGCAGTGGCGCATCTACGATTTTGGACCGTAGGGGGGGGGGGGGGCTTTCTATTGCGTCCTATAGGGCTTTGAATTTCATGCTATAAATATTATATCGATTATATATAAATGTTGTGTCGGGCGGAGCGAGGCGTTAGAATTCTTGCAAATATTTCAGTTTTTAATTACATCTTGTAAATCCAACAAATTAAGTGCGTAAATACATGTATCTCAACTTTTCACGAGGGAATTATGGGCTGTCATTTCAACATTACTTGTAAGCAAGGTGTATGAAATTAAAAATTACCACCACACTTTGTAGGACCGGGAATAAATGACTATTGTACAGTTAAATTTATTTACTATGCACGAAGAGAATTTTTTCCGGACAGTGGGATTTCAGATTACTCTTGATTTATTACATGACGTGTCCGAGGTCATTTATAAAAACAGTCCAGGGAATCTTCAGATAAGAGTTTTTGAGACCATTTCAAACCCGCTGGAACTGTTTCACACAACCATTTTATTCGCGGGTTTATTGCCGTATAGCCTCTCTATATTTCAAGAATCTTTAAGATTTATCACTTGCTGTGATAGCACAATGATATACCCTACTGGAATTAATTTCCAATGTCTCGTGGTGGGAATTACGTAGCGGACAAACTTAACCTTAAATATAATATACAGTTAAAAATTTGATTTCTGAATAGCAGGCAATTAAAATCTTTGATTTTGAAATGAGAACAATATTTACCATAAGATGCTTTTTTCATTAAACAGATCTGTGTTGGGATATCAGAAAATGAGATTAACTGGAGTAGAGAATTATAGTTTAATTTTACAAGCTGAATTACAACAGGTAAGTGATCGGTGTCTTAACGTAATTAGAATAGCTGCGTTTTCATTGGCTATTTACAATAAATATGATAAAACTTGATTCTTGTAAAATAACAAATACGGGACGGTGTAGTAATATGGATGAGGGATTTGTGCTAAAGAACACATATGTATATTAATATTATGGCCTTAATTAATTATTCTCCATTGTTAGTATATTAGCTATGGTATGAGTTTAGTTAGGACGCAAATAAAATTGTTTATGAAATATTGCGAGAATAACAGGAAAAGGGGTCTAAGTTCAAGGATAGATTCTATGTCTAAAAGCACGTGATAGCAGTGGCGGCGCCAGGGGGGGGGGGGGGGCGCAAGGGGGGGCATTTGCCCCCCCCCCCCCCATTAATCTGGTCTTCCCTCTGTTTGCCCCCCCCCCCAATAATTTTAGAAAATGAAAAAAAGTATTTGTGATACGTTTCGGTAATCAATACCTTCTACGGTGAATAAATCCCACATCCCCACTCAGTCATAAACTTGCATGTTGTAGAGCATTTCCGACAGTCTATTTTTCAAAATTTTCTAGGCGAGGACCCCAATAGACTCCCTACTTTGGCGTTCACAAGGGGAATTCGTGAGGTTCGCAAGTCAGTTTGTTTCACATTTTGTTCTCTAGTCGGATAAACTAGTGATCAGGCGACGGACGGTATCTGGTAAGATCTATTTATCTCGACGATCGGTGCCTGGGAATACTGTAAGACAGCATTTCCGGCAGTCTATTTTTCAAAACTTTCTGGGGGAAGACTCCCTACTTTGACGCTCGTGAGTGGGCTTCGTCGTGATTCGCAAGTCCGTTCGTTTGACACTTTACCTCATCGATCAGTGCCTGAAATACTGCCAGGCTGCATTTCTGGCAACCTGTTTTTCAAAATTTTCTGGGGGAGGCCCTAGTTGAAGCTCGTGCCTTTGCCCCCTTAACCTTGGACTTTGCCCCAGCTTTGCCCCTCCAATCACCGACGGCTGGCACCGCCACTGCGTGATAGGAAAGTTACCATTCCATGTTTAGCATGAGTGGCCAATCAAATGATTAATTACATCATAATTAGCCAATAGAATAATTAATTACTGAGAATATATAATTAATATGATGTAGGAATTTCCATCAGCAGACTTGCTGAGTCTGCATGGGAGCGGGTCGAAGGGAATGACTTTAGTATAGTGCTTGTAACTATACGTAACCTATATGTAGCAGTGCTTAATATAAAAGGTTGAACCGAAATGTGTTATTTGTTGTTCCTGTTGATGATATCATTTAAGATGCAGTATATTCAATCACAACGTGAAGTTGTCATTAATGTGGGATGTCAGAGTGGTATTTAAAGATACGTCCTAACCAGTTAAGGTATTACATATGCGACCAGAAACAATACTAGACGATCAAGGGCTGTTCCAAAATATGTAGTAAGAAACGATGCATGGGGTTATACGCCGGATATGGCGGCCGGATGTGGCGACCGGTTTAGCGTCTTCCGCTCTCCACGTCTGACTGACGACCCATGGTGCTACAACGGTGGTGAATTCAGGATTTCCAAAAGGTGGCAGCGGGCAAAAATTAAAGATAAATTGACGTTAAAGAAGGTATGAGGCACCAAACAACACTAAAACCGTGCCTGGTGAAACAAGTTTAACTGCTCAATGTCTGTTTTGAGCGCAGTGTGCCACTTCAAATCGTGTGTCAGCTCTTGTTTTGACTATATTCGTATTATTTTCAGGAAAGGGAAGACAACAAAAAATTGGTGAAAAAAATCCAAGAGTCAATGCTGTAAAATATGTAATTTGCCCGAGTTAGAACATAGCAGGATTTTAAAGATGTGTTTCTTGATAATCTGGAATAATTTAGAGATGGCGAGAGGAAATATGGATCCCACGTAAGATAATCCAACTGATAAAAGACTTTGACATTCAATGTTTTATGGATTAGAAATTCGTCTTTGTTGATCAGTTTTAAGGCATGGGAAGTCGACTCAACTAAAAAATGAAATGTAGCACTGATAGAGGCAGGTGAACAGGACATGTACAGTTCCTTACTGTTCAAAAAGATCAATGTATTTCATTGGGGGATTTATTATAGTATGTTGTTCCATGGGCAAGGTAGATAAATACCCACTTAACAATACAAATCAACATATGAAACTTGTTTAATAGACAATTTAATTATTTTACTCAAATCGGAGAGTTCGTGTCATTCTAAAACATATATAAACTACATCATGGATCATTAACTAGGTCAGCATTATGTAATTATGTTTAAATGACATTCTATGTTGTTTATGTTTGTTAAATTTATATACATGTATATATATATATATTGTCCTTACCTTGAATTTGACATAATTTGTGTTATAACTTCTTAAGCGGAAGTAAATTATTGTGACTGTATTGTTATACAATAGTTAGTGTGTTTATTTGGTAGCTAAAATAATAACTATACATTTTGTAATCAAATACTAATGAGACATGCCTCGAGAAATCCTCAGTGGAATTGGGTCTAATCAAACAAAACAGGGCTCCGAAGGTGCAAACATTTTAAAGACAATCCAATGATAAATATTTGGTTCCTTAGGAAGCTTTTCAAGGTGCACCAAAGGCGTGAAATATAAGTTGTAAATGGTAACTAGAATTTAAGCTCAACAGCAAAATGTTTTCGGGGCCTACGGTCACCGGCACCGAAAGGAATCTTCCACTGATAGTTAGAAATAGGAGTGAAAATAATTTTAACCGGATGCTGATTGATTGTAAACTAATTAATATCTGGTTCACTAGGAAACTTTGTAAGGAGTACAGAACACGTTTAACGTTCTACTGTTCTGCTCAGACTGGGCTATGGAGGACATTTGGCCCGGACAGCGGCACTACGGCCTACTATTATCTCGAATTCCAACTGTAAAGGGGTCTTTTACGTACAGACCAATGTGTACACGGGACCTTGGTTTTCCGTCCCATCAGAACGACTATACAATGTCCCCCGTCCTGCACCACTGACAAGGGGAAACCACGCCGGAAAATCCCCTATGAACTTTCTCGGCCAACGCAGTGATCGAACACGTCATAATCACTGAGATACCGCGGTCCCCAGGTATAGGGGTAATTGGCACTAAAATCTGTCGTTAGTAGTTGTAAGTGTACATTCAAGCTAACCGAAAATTTTATTTTGGAAATTAAATTTATTTTGTAGGTTATTTTTATATGTCTACATTTAAGTTTGGACATATTATGTTGTCGCCCCTGTCCATCGATCTATTAACAAGTGTCTCCTTAACGCGATACCGGCTACAGTTTTTAACGGATTTTTTTTTTTGCAGATATGGTGTGAAGTATTGGGACTGTAAGGGGGTGAACCCTATTGATTTTTTCGAATTTGGTGTTAAGCACTGGGATTGAAGAGAATGAACACTTCATTTTTAGATTTCTAGGACTTTCTATTCCAGAGAAAAAAAACCTCTATATTTCCCAACGACACTAGATTTAAAAACGTTTATGGTAAGCGATTAACAAGGGGTAATGTTTATGTTGCATGTAACATGTTTGGAGACTGATTAAAATACAGTAGTATAAGAGATATTTTTTTAAAAATACAATGTTTAATATTTTGAACAATCAGCTATAGAAAATTGTGTACAGGATGGGTCACTGACCGACTCCTTTAACTCTAATCCAGCTCCTACAAGAACAAAACATTGGTTAGCAGACAACAAAGCACCCACCAAGCAGTTATAAGCTTAGCAACATGCAGGTCGGCGGAGAAAATTTTCTTAAAATAACAAAGGGACATAACTGTTGAAGTTATGATTGAAAAGTACTCACATCCATAGGACGCTTCCTTTTAATGAGTCTAACAACTCATACAAATTCCAGAAAAATGATAATGTTGACTTTCGACGATTTCAATTATAATGCCCAGGGTTATTCCCTTTGTAACAAAATCTTGTTTTAAAACACCATTGGTGTTTAAATTATCAAAATCTCCTAAGGCAATTCTTGGCTTCTTAATTTCATGAACATAAACACTATATAAAGACACTCGAAAGATAACTTTATGATCTTGAGCATCCGCAACTCTGGAAATAATATTGGAAATTGTTGAAAATCGCTAAGCTTCCTATCCGATGAAAATGTGAATTTTGTATTGGTTTAATGATAACTTTATCATCTACATGTAGAGCGTCCACACGAGTTTTTGTATTAAAGTCATAAATGGCCATAACCCTGGCAGGCAAAAATTATCGGAAATAGTTCAAAGTCTATAGTAGTAACTGTGTTACAGTCAATTATACATATGTACTCTCATGCATATTGTATGGACAACTGACACTACTACTAACTATTTACTCCATTTTGCTTATCGTTTTATAATATCGAAAACATAATATCCTTTGAAAACATTTACCTGTGATCAGATTATATAAGTTACAGTAGTTGGTGCCATTATCCAAGACAAGATTCGGAATTTCAGATGTACTGTAACCCTAAAAATACAAAATATATAATCAATTTAATTTGATCTCATAGAGGCAGATCTGAAATGCCCCCCAAAAAATCACGTTTACAGATGGCGTTAGCGGTAGCCTCATGAAGAAAGTTTGAATGAAATGGGGTTTAACGTCCTTCTCCGATTGGGCATACGCAGCGTACTATGGGGGAATTTTTGCCCGGACAGTGGCGCTACGGCCTACTCTTATATCCAATTCCTACTGCCAAGGGTTCTCTTACGTGCACGCCCCTTCTGTCCTACACCACTGACAAATTGAAACCACTCCGGAAAATCCGATAAACTTTCTTGGTCAACGCAGGGAAGAAACTTTTAAAACTTGACGGCCTCAAGCGCGTATTCTTGCTATTCCAGCCCGTGAATACAGCAAATTCAATGCAGTCCAATATAGACTAACTTAGGTGACTGACCTGAATTCTAAACCATCAATGTCGCGGGGTAGGGTGAACGCGCCCTCCCCGATAAAATTTTGAAAATTTGACCTCCGAAAATTTGTTATTTTGCTATTCTAGTTTACTAATGGTTTTGCAACCGAAATCCCACTCTATTCCGGCCTGAATTCCAAACATCCAATCAGACTGTCGGAGCTGCGTTCACAAATAATAATTAATGCCGAAACATTATGTCGCAGTGTGGCTCCAGACAAAATGTTTTAATTCATAGACAGATCAGTACAAATTCCCAGTCGCAGTATTCAATTAAAGAAAGTTACAATTAGTGTTTTATTAGATTTCGGCCACTTTATTTTGCCAACTAGATTATATTTTGCCAAGCAGGGTGTCTCCAGACAAAATGATTTAATTCATAGTCAATTCAGTACAGATTCGCTGCATTCAATAAACAGAAAGATAAAATTAGTGTTTTATTAGACTATTTTGCCAACTAGATCATTTCCCACTTTACCCGTCTGCCCGAAAAGTCAGACTACCCAAAAGTTAATGCCCTTCCCTGCCCCCATACACTCCAACGGGCACTTCCATTCTGCACTGGAACGCTTATAGATAGATGCAGATAACGATAATGAATATTCTTAAACTAAAAAACGTATTTGCTGTCAAGAATATTATGAACTCATCAACCTCCCTAAACATAATAACGACATGCAGTGTGCCTACTTTCTTTCATTCCATCTCCCAATGTGTACCCGCATCCTCAGTTTTTCGTACTATTCGGGCAACTAGATGCTGGCCCTTGCCAGGCTCTCCGCCCTGCACCACGGGCAAGGGGAAACCACACTGGAAAATTTAAAGGAGCATCTGCATTTATAGAAACTATAGAATATTTGGATCCTATAGAAAATTTGACACGATCCCCAAAATTCTGTAGAATTTTTATTTTAAAAACTAATACATTGGTATTCTATAGGAATTTGTGCTGATATAAAATCGAACTAACTTACTTGAATTTGACAGCTATAGCTAACTTGAAAGAAGTTGAAATTCAGATCATCTTTGTGGTGTGTGTTAGGGCTTTCGTGAATGGCGTTAATTTGATACCTGGACTGTGAAACGAGCTGCAAGAACAATTAAAGAATTATTACAATATTCATATAATGATTGTGGGCTGAATTAACCCTTTGAAAGTGTTATTGCAAGCCATTTGTACCCTCTTACCAATGCTTGCCGGACGAATTGCAAGAAGCTGTAGACGCTCGCAAATCGGCGTTGTGAAAATATAAGCGCAAGCCAAAGGGTTCGCATACCTAAGGAAATCTAATCAAGGAATCAAAGGAAACTACACTGGCCAAACGACGGAATGAAAACTGTTTGGAATAAAATATCGGCAAACAATGGCAACAACGTAGGACAAAACCTGCTAATACTTAATTGCAAAACGAAACTACTTATAAAACACACAAAGTCGACCTCCTGGCACAATACATGACTTATGCAGATGGCAGTAGCAACAGTCAACCTGATTGTACCAAGTCAGAATAGCGAGGCATTCAGTAAAAACAAAAAAATAATTAATTAAAATTATAATAATGTCGAAACATGACAGCACTGAAGGTCTACATCACTTTGAAGGGTTATGTCACGCACATTCCACCACAAGAAAAAAAGATTTGTCCAGTAAGTAATAACTATCTAACCATAACCAGTGCCCTATAGCCATGTGCAATACAGACGGGCATACGTCATGAAGTGTACTATGAGGGAAATGCCCGGTCATCGGCGACGGCATATTCTTATTTAGAATTCCAACTGTGACGGGTCCTTTTACATACACGCCAATGTGTACATGGGACCTCATCTTTCCATCCCATCCTACACCTCTGACTTAGTGGAATCACGTCGGAAAAGCACGGTGAATTTTTTCGACAAACAGCAGAACGAACATGTACAACACAGTTAATGTATAACCCTATTTACAAATCCATCACGTACACTGTAAAGACACTTTTCACCTCCATTAGCACAGCCAGATGGTCCATTCCATGCTTTAATCTGGTCTACAATCTTTGTGTGAAAATAATCACAATTTCCATTTGAATTCCTTAAAACAAAGAACAGGTTGTCTGCAAAAAATTTTGTAAGTTTGTAATTTTCACATATTCAAAAGTATTCTACATTCTTAAAGGAGCTAAATCTCTAACCCTATTTTTTTCATAAATTTCGAAATTAATAAATTGCACGTTTATCTTTTTCAAGAGTATCGAGCAATCAAATTGATTATCAACTATACTCTAAGTTTCATCACTCTCTATCAAATAGAATCAAAGTCAAAGAAATTGCTTAGCTTTAGCGGGAAATGTTATATTAATCACTGAACTCGGTCAGGACATTCACCTAATGAACATCAATCAAGTTTGAACCTACCTCAATTAAAAGCAGAGTTGTTATGTTCCAAAGTCTTGACCAATCAAATTGCTTATCGCTCCTTAGCCTTAGCAGAAGATTCTCATCAAACTTAGTCAAGTTGATATAAGTCTTAACTCTGAGTTCCATAGCTCTTACTTAATAATTATAACCAAAGTTATCGTGCCCAAAAGCATCAACCAATCAAATTGCTTATCTCTGCTTATCAAGGCATTCACCTAATGAACGCATACAACAAGTTTGTTTGGACATTCTACCTGAATTAGGACAGTTGTTGTGTTTCAAAGTCTCGACCAATCAAATTGCTTATCGCTCTTATGTTGATTATCGAACTTAGTCAAAGGTAATACACAAAAAAGTAGCTGTTTTTTCCATAAGTATGTGTTTTTGTGTAGCCTATTGCTCTACCCAGTTACTATATGCCTCTTAAAGATTATTAGTCAAAGGATTGCGAGAACTAAAGTTATCGTTTCCCAAAGCATCAACCAATCAAACTCTTCGAACTCCATCAAGGCATTCACCTAATAAACACCAACACCAAGTGTAAACAGTGTTGCTCAATTAGAAGGAGAGTTATTGTGTCCAAAGTCTCGACCAATCAAATTGCTTATTGTTCTGCTTACCCTGAGCAGAAAATGTACATTATCGCACTTAGTCAAGGTATTGATTTATGTCCCAAAGCACCAACCAATTAAATTGCTTATATCTGCTTACCCTTAGCAGAAAATGCTCATATTCGAACTCCATCAAGGCATCGACCTAATAAACACCTACACCAAGTTTGAACATTCTAGTTCAATTAGGAGGAGAGTTGGTGTGTCTCAAAAAATGTGACGGATAGACAGACGGATGGACAGACAGACAACCCCATTTTAATAGTCCCTTGCTTTCTTCGAAAGACGGGGGACAAAAAAAACCGTGTAGAATGGACTAAGCAGGCGTAAAAGACTGCCGTTCAATCTGCACAGTTCACGCATTTCATCAAACATAATTGATTAGATATTACAATAAAAAATTTAAAATGGAATATAAATCACTTTATCAATTAATATTACATTAATATGTGCTTTTAGACCGATTTTAGTCTATTTCAAGGTTCCAAAGAATAGAGCCGGACGCGTTTTAATTTGAAGAAATAAAGTAATTTCTTTTTAAACTGAGGAAATTCATAGCTTTACTTGATGTGAGGCGATTTAGAGATGGGTTATTGAACCAATTATTAATTCCTTAAGTTAAAGTTAAGTCTTCTGTAGGTTGAGGAAGTTTTCCTCCATATTTTTTTTTAAACTGGATATAAGGAAACTGTTTTAGAATTACGGTGAAATTGTAGGATATGTACGGTATCTGGTATACAAATGAAAGCAACCAAACTAAAGTGGCATCAATTTATTGATGATTCATTAATTAAATAATTATCCAAATGAGGGATTGATGATACATTAATTAATTAAATAAATGTACTTATTTGGATTGTTAAATTCATTCCGTCGAAAACTAATAATATATCACCCTGCCCCCGAGTTCTAATTATAGAACACCAAGGCTTAGTAAGTAATTAAGATGTCTGTCTTACCAGGAATAACAATACCTCGGTTCGTTTCTACATTTTATATCAAGCTGGATACATATGGTTACAATGCATAATAGATAACACTACAATACTTGAAATTAACATATATTTCTCTCCGCTCCCTAATTTGCAGATCGAGTTTACTGACAGAATGCCAACATCATATGGCTCTTCTATAAATCAATGGGGTCTACTCCACTCAGCTGGTGTCTCTTGAACCTCGGCTGTATCTCCCGAATTTAGCGGCTGTCTCACGAACGCAAAGAGCTCGGGGGGGGGGGGGTGTACCCTTAAGTTTCGGCTTTCAATAATCTAATTGGTCAAATATGACGTAATTAATTATAATGATTGCTTACTAAGCCAAATGATGCAATAGGAATTTTCCTACACAAGTGATTAATATGATATTCTAGATTCACCCAGAATCAGCTATGTTTAGGCTTTATAAATCTTTTTATGTGTCAACCACTCAATCATTTTAATTTAAGTGCGTGGAATATGGCGTCTGCACAAAGTGTGGATCTAATAATTAGTTAAAGATACAATATGGTCGCAAAGACCATAGTACTACACTATCTTATCTTACCAGTGCATTATCTGCAAATTGGGTCACATTCGACATTGCACAGAAAAATAAATGATTTCATTTCCTAAAAGTGAAACTTATTTTACAAATTTTTTAATTAAATTTTATCTATAGAAATGAACAATGCGGGCGATTTATTTATTTTAATTATACCGCAGATCTGATCTAATAACAAAAACCTTACCAGACAACCCTGCAAGACGCATGAAAGGGGCCACAAAAAACACCTGAAGCGGCACACAAAACAAGAAGGGTTGATAAGGTAAGCATGATTTTCAGTCGGAGTTATACAAATCACAAATAGAATCGGTTCTTGCTCTTCGGTGACTTTTATTTTGCCAAGTTTGTGTGTGAACTCGCCAGCCTGCGTACGTTTCTTATCACATAATAGATCACGTGAATCTGGGATAGTGTGTAATTTTGGAGTTTTATTAATGATAGGTTTTATCATTCACACTGTAAGACTGACAGCCATCCTAATTAAACAATAATAACGAGCTTTGTGTCACGGGTTCTTAGAATGACATTTAGTAATTGGAACATATCTTGTTGAAACGTCGCAGTGAAATAAACCATAGTAATTGTTATTCCATAAAAGTGTGTTATTTGATTATTTGTGTCATGGGGCTAGAGTTTTTGCGTCCTTCTCAGTTTTGGCCACTCTATCATGGAAAAAAATAAGTGCAGTTTTCAAAGCGCTTGTCAAACAAGTTAGATATCTGTTTTAACTTAACTTCAGATTTGAAATCACTTGGTTATAATTATATTTCATATTGCGAGCTCTACCAGTGTCGCGCATAGTTCATGGCCCAGTTATGCTTAATATCGGGATTCTGGCATGATCCATTCCTCGCGCAAAATCAGCGGTCACCTGCCTGATTTCATAATGACTCGATGTTCATTGTATTGTAACCATACCGGTAACTATATAAGGATTATAGACGTTTGGAGACTAACCTGTAGTTTAAAAACTGGAAAGACATTATTTTTTTCACTTTCATTTAAATATCCTAATGTCCCTTTAAATTGATTAATTTGTTTGTACCTTTAATAATTTTTTACTGTCAAAGGGAGACAACTACCGGTAAGTTTTTCTTCCAAGTCTGTGTTTGGTGCAGCCTAAGCACTTCTGTTGTTTTGTCTTCAGATATTTCTCTTGCAAGATCCCTGTGGAACACAAAACAACCAACAAGGGACCTTATGGATTGGAAATTCTTTTATTTTCGGGACCAGTTTAAGTGCTTGGTAAGGGTTGTTCAACTAAAAATGGACTGCAACGCTGAAAAAATATTTGTGGGGTAGATGGTGTCCACAAACAGGTGAACGGACACACAGACAGACGGGGGTGATGACATGTTCACATAAAAATGTGAATGTACAAAACCTTGTCGGGACATATGATTACAGGTCAGTCAACGGCTCTGTGGGTTCTTAAGCCCATGGATCGCTTGGTTCCACAGGAAGGTTGTTTGGGTTGCGGAAAAAGGGGTGATCGTTACTAAACTCTGTTGACAATGAAACATTTCAACAAGAATCCAAATTGGAACAAAATAATGTGTGCAAAAAAGGTACAAGATACAGCCCTAGTCAAAACGACATGGTTGGAAGAGTTTGAAAAATGACAATGAATACGAATCCCATCTGCCACTTAGTACATATCTGTAATCAGTTGTAGAAGAAATGTCATAAATTAATGACATAAGATTTATTTATTTTTTACACAAAAAAATATATACAGCATTATTTATGTAGAAACCTGTTATATAAAAATTATAAACATTTATTTTATCCTACATTTATTTACATAGTGACATGATTTAATCTTTATTTTACAATTTGGAGTCGCGGTGGCTCAGTGTATAAGGCATTGGCTCGATCCCTGTGTTGGCTGGGGAAAATTCATCTTGATTTTCCAGCAGAATTTGGCGAGGGACAATACATAGTTGTTGAGATGGGACGAAAAACTGAGGTCCCGTGTACACAATGTGTGCAAGCAAAAGAACCCTTGGCAGTTGGAAATTGTTATAGAGCCACTGTCCAGTCCTATCTTCATTAGCTCAGTTGGAGCATATCATTAGAATGTTAAACCCCAAAACCTTTCAAGTGGGATTTGAAATCTGCTGTAATCTGCAACTGCTACAGAACACATTTTGTTTGTAAATTGGATTTGGAGAACCATTGCTTTCTGGTGTACTACAGTTAATTTCAGGTAAAGATGTGTATTGATCTGTGGATTATACTTGGCTTGATTATTACCAATAAATATAAACATATGGGGACAAGACATGTAGCCGTCAGCTTCTCAAAGGGGTCTAAAGTATTTCCATGAGCCAACATGGGAATTAAAGTATTTCCATGAGCCAACATGGAGTTTAAAGTATTTCCATGAGCTGACATGAATATTAACGAGTTTCCATGAGCCGACATGAGATTTAAAGAATTTCCTTGGGCCGACATGGGGTTTAAAGTATTTCCATGAGCTGACATGAGATTTAAAGTACTTCCATGAGCCAACATGATATTCAAAGTACTTCCATGGGCCAACATAAGATTTAAAGTATTTTCATGAGCCGACACAAGATTTTAACTGACATAATAATTAAAGTATTTACAAAAGCTGACATGTGATGGTTAGTGACAATATCCAGGGATCTTATTCAAGAGCTTATATTTACTAAATTACCATATCTAATAATTAGGATTAAAGGCGGATCAATGACCACAAATTATTCTGATTTGCATAAAGTCATTTATAATTAAAGTATTGTTGTTATGTAATTTGGACAGGTAGAGATATTTTTTAATGCAATATTTAATATTTTGAACAATCAGCAGAACTAAATTGTGTACAGGTGGAGTCACTGGTAGTTTCCTTGTAGCCCGCCATCTTGTCTACTCCTGCTCCTACAACAATAAAGAACAATATTATATAACCAATTGGAAAAACATAATGATCTCCACTAAAAAATATATACTGAAAACAATTTAATCAAAAATATATCTTTTTTTATTCGTCTTTATGGTTCTGAAGTTTCACGCCACAGAAGGGTTTCTGTTAGCAGAAATTGTTTGTGTTATGCCCGAGATTTCAGTGGTCGTATAAATAAATCAGTGAACGATGTTGATGTCTTTGTATGATCAGAATAGTTGTATTTTTATTGGCTGTTTATAGTGCACAAGTAAAAAAAAACCATAAAATATAAATTGAAAATCACGTGACTTTGACAACAGTATTTCAATTGGGACCTGAAGAATTCATGATGACCATGTGTGTTTGTGTGTGTATATGTAACTCCATGGCTATCTGGCTGTTACCTTATAAAGTTCACGTAATGGGCTATGGGAAATATTGTCTCAATCAACCAGTTAATTTCAATGTAAAGTGAACATCATGGAAATCTTTGTTCGTGTTCGGCCATATTTGCAGGTCTTGACTGCTTATTTTCAAAATTGACAGAAATTTAACACTGTAAAACTAATATGTCTTTTAATTCCAATTTAAAGTGAACATCATGGAAATCTCTGTTCGGCCATATTTGCAGGTCTTGACTGCTTATCTTAAAAACTGACAGAAATTTAACGCTGTAAAACTAATGTCTTTTTAAACTCCAATTTCAAACCTGATCGTCCTCTATAACATTTAACACCATGTACAGAATAGTGCAAGCTAGTGTTATAGAATAGTTATATTTGTCTGAACCAATATTTGTTGCATTTGAAACAGAGACTGCAGTGATAGAAAATAGTTCGACATATTTTACAAGTTTTCTGTATAGGCATAAAGTTGTTTGTTCAAAGAAGGTTCTATCTATAGAAGATTTAAGAGTTGTGACAAAAGAAGTTTTGATATTTGTAGTAAAAAAAGTGCACATGAGGAAGTGGGCTGATTATTGTAAAATGTCAATATCTGTTTAGAAAAGTCCACTTTAACTAGCCAAGATAATAAAAAAAAGGGGTTGATCATATTATTACATCAGGGGTATGGTGGAGTATGCATACTCTTGTATGGACTTTTGACACCACTTCATACTTTAGAAGTTCACTACATATTTAATTGATTTTGGCTTTTGTTTTATGGGATCTTTGATTTGTTATACAGTATTTCTATACCAAACATCATTAGGTGCAAAAATAGTTGAGTTACCTGTGATGAGATTATGTAAGTTACAGTAGTTGGTACCATAATCCAAGACAGCATACCAAGTTTCAGATCTACTGTAACCCTAAAAATACAAAACGTAAGACACTGTCCATGTATTGAAGTAACTACTAAAAACAGTTTAGAAAATGCAAACATACATTTATCAGAAAAGGTCGAATAATAAGATAGGTATGTGCATGTATAATAAGCTTTTGAAGAGGTATTACAGCTTTGACATTTTCACTTTCGTCACATCTGAATGAACAGACGATTTCCTTGCCAGACACTGTGTCCTGTGTCACTGACAAGGGCAAACACAGGTTGTAAAATTCAGATATACTTTCTCAGCCAAACAGTGCTCATGTTCAGTTCCATTTTTTTCCACCAGATTTTAACATCTTTTTCCATACAAATGTCACACATTAAAGATTAGTTTAAGCTTTTCGTTTATGGCCCATGTGTTCGTTCGTTTATACATTGGTGTGCATTTATTGCTGTTGTAATATTAAAAGGTGGGAAAGGCACAGCAATAAATGACTGAAGATTCTAATTTTTTTTCAAAGATTCTAATTTTTATCTAAATTTCGTTTTGTCGTGTTTTTGGCCGACATTCCTAAATATGGACGTTGACCTATATTTAAAGTGTCATGGCAGCGAAAAGGCAACTTGATAGGTGGAGACGTATTTTTTAACAGCCTGTTGTGTCGCTCATACTGGATCTAGCAGGTAAGCGAGGTCTTATTTTCTCACTAAGATGTTCCTTTACATTGTTCAGGTATTCACAGGGACTGCCACGCGACCGTTTAGCGGTAAAAAGTTGCCCAGTAAAATTGACTGGGGCGGTCGATTACTTCGACATTGATTCAATGCTAGCTTCCCTGGACGTAGTGTCGACTGTAAAGAGACCTACGTTCAGAGCTGGACTATGTTCCCGCCTACTCTTCAGATTCCAACTGCAAAGGGTTCTTTTAAGTGCACAGAAAACGTGTACACTGGGCTTCAGTATTCTGTCACATCTGAACAAATAGACACTGTTCCGTGCCACTGCTTGAGGCAACCACAATAAAAAATCTTGTACACTGGACTTCAGTTTTGAGTACCATCTGAATGACTAGATACCGTTCTGTGCCAGGCCCTCTGTCCTGCACCACTGCCTGAGACATGTGATCTCATGGTTAGTTAGAGATGGTATACCAGTGAGGCAGTGTATTACTCACTGAACCAGGTGGGTCTCGTCAACCATTTAAATTGTTGAATATCACCTATTGTATGGGAGGTTACTTACATGAATTTGACAAACATTGCCATTTTGTGAGAAGGTGAAAGTCAGATCATCTTTGTAATGTTTTACAGGGGTTTCATGCATAGCTTTAACTTGAGTGCTGGACTGTGAAACAAGCTACAAAATAAATAAAGAATAATTACAATATTCATAAACAAAGAAATCTGAATCAATTAACTCTTTGAGTCCGTTATCACAAATCTTCTTTGCAATATATCAAGGTAACACAGTTTACCTGAATTCCAACTATCAAATTATGTACACGCCAATGGGCTCATTTTTTTTCATACAATCTGTATAGCTAGGAAATACATTCCACACAGGTGGAACCAAAAGTAAAATATTTCGTCCAAAAAATCTTGCTGATAAAAATAGAGAAAAAATCTGACCACCAATTTTATAAGTAATACATGTAGCAAGGTTTTCGGTGGATATATTCAGGTATCAATATCTAGCCCTATTTACAAAATTATCACTTACACTGTAAAGACATTTTTCACCTCCATTATCACAACCAGATTGTCCATTCCATGCTTTAATCTGGTTCACAATCTTTGTTTGAACTGCACTACACTTTCCGGTTGTTTCCCTTGAAACAAAAACTACATGTAGTTGTATTGGAGATTTTTCAATCTTTTAAAATTGCAAATAAACTAATATAGGTGTTGATTTGTTTTGGTTCATGTCACGTGTAAAATGTAATTATCATGGAGGCTGGCCAAAAGATAATGTAATGTGTGTCTAATTAGTCTTTTTTGTCTAGTGTTTATACTCAAAGTTGATTAGCTTAAAGGCACTATTGTAAGGTTGTGAGTAAGTTAATTTGATCAGTATCTTGGAAAGGTTCACCCATGGAAATCTGGTTTGTTGTCAATCCCTAGGCTTGGCATTAACTTTACTATATTTTGGTCTGTCAATTACATCTTTGAGCAGTTACAGCACAAGTTTAATTAATTAATTAAAATCATTTATTTCAAGGTAGGTTTACTATTTGTTTTGACTTGACAAGACATTTAAAACTATAATAAATAATTCTAAACTAATATAAAGATAGTACATAAGAACTAACTCTGTTAATGTGGCTTCAAATATTATATAAATTATCATTTAGACAATTATTCACATGACGTGTAAGCCCATAATCAACTCTCTAGACCATACCTAGTGGATTATATACCGTCTTCCATATCTTCATTAAATTGAAAAAAACAAGACTTTGTTTATTAATATAGCAATGGCACTTGACAATCAAAACTACATTGTGTTTACGCTATTCCTTGTTAATAATTATAACATTAATAATGCTAAGAATGTAATTTAAAAATACTCATTTTTTTCTAACTGGTATATCAGATTTATTTTTAAACTATTATAGCAAGACTGGCAAGCCCTCTAAAGTATTTTTAGTTGTAAATATAAATAATATAAAAATTAAATCAAAAGCTCTATAGAAATTAAAAGGCAACTTTATTATATATTTCATTTGTAAATATTATATTACCAAGTACTGAATCAGTGAAGTAGCTTTAGATCTATATAATATTGTAGGGCTCTCATATTTTCGTTACTAAAGTAACTATAATATTCGGTATACAGACAACTCATCCCAAAGACAACTCATCCGAAGACAACTCATCCCAAGATAAAAGACAACTCATCCCAACTTTAAAACATGGGTCAAGATATAAGACAACTCATCCCAACAAATATACGTGCCAGTTATATTTGTTTTAATACAATTGCTTTCTTTGAAGACTAATATGACCATTCTAATTTTGTTATAAAAATGTGTTATATTAATAAAATTGATTTTGTTGTTTTAATAAAATCAATATTGTTGTTTTAAATTTTAAGTTATTTTAAGTTCTGGGCGCTCCGTATACTTATAGCGTACACATTTCAATTCCATCTTTGAACCATACATGCGACTGGAAATGTTGGTCCCAGTCGTGCTGATTGTTACCATATCATTGTCTGATAGAAATTCGTCAGAATATGACATTATATCTTTATCTTTATGTATGAGTTTCAGTATAGCTAATATCTTGGGAATATTCCCTGTGTTGTTTTGTGAATTGTGCTGTCTAACTGTTTTTATAATGACTTTCCCACATCCCATTATTCAATCATGCATTGATTGAGTATTCAGCTTATGTACTAATCATGTATTCCCGGTACGGTACTGGTGGTAGGCATGATAAAAATAAAATTTACCAGTCAACTTTACAAGACGCATGAAATGGTCCGCAAAAAACACCGGAAGCGACACACAAAACAAGAAGGGCTGATAGGGCAAGCATGATTTTCACTCGGTGTTGTACAAACCACGAACAGACTCGGTTCCTGCTTCTATTCGAATTTCTTTTGCCAAGTTTACAGTACGTGAACTCCTCAGGTTGCATAAGTTTCTTATCACATGATAGATCACGTGACTCAAAATGAGGCAAGGTGTTTTTGAATCATGGGATATGATGCACTAAAATCACAAGCTGATCCGCAGTAAAAATATTCGCCTAGACGCTTCTCAAACGATAGATTTCGCAATGTCCGCTTAATAACAGTAGGCTTTTGCTAAAATGGATGTAAACAGGTCGGGTCACGCATAGGCTTCAATGGGAATAATTATGCGCACGCCTATCGATGGACTAAATCTAATCCGCTTTAATTTCTTAGTTTTATCATGGTATTTTCGATATTGTATACTACTATTAGGTGTTTCATTTTTCACCCTTTTCGTAATTTCTAAGGTTTCTATCCGTCTCTATTGGGCAGGGGGAGGGGGGCTTGTCAAAACGATTAGGGGTGGCCGTAGATAACAAACCTTAATCTCTCAACCCTCCGTGTTTCGAGATAAGACATGAGCCCATTACCTATAACGTTGCAGCTGCGGGTGCGATTCACACCCGGCAATTTTAGACAAAATTGTCAATAGTTTTAATCAAAACAACGATTGATTATTGTTATTTATAATATTTCTACAACACACAACTACAATTAAGCATATAATCCTACCTGAAACGGGTACAAATCGTCGTTTTTAAAATCGAGGCGTTAAGCCGTTACTAAGACCGCCATCTTTCTAAACGATACGCTGTCATCATGAAGGCGGGGCTAAATATAAGGCTTTTATAACAGCCAATCAAAAGGACGATCGAAAGCACAGTAACTATGAATGGATTTCGATGGCGGTGAAATGTCAGACAAAAACAACGCTTCATTAATTTAAACGCGAATATTTGGAGTTGTGCCACTACATTGGCCTCTGTAAGTTTAATTAATCATAATATCATAAACTTATCTATTTTAAAGATGTTACATGCATTAATAAAGAAATTGAGTTTGCCACTTGGAACTATAATAAAGGCATCCAATCGTAGCTAAAAACAAACACATCAGTATATCTCAACGTTTTTAGCTACGTTCTCGTAGCTAGGGTGGCCGATTCTGAAAGAGAACACCTTAGGCTATTAAAATCAATCATAAAAAAACCTTTGTATTATAAGGTCCATGGTCAGACTAATAGTGTGGTGAATATTCTTCAGTCATTACCTTCTGCCATTTTCAACAAAAGGTAAATCAGTGTCATTCTGAACATCATGTTGGCCCTGATATTAAATTTTATGAGACCAAAATTGTACAGTCTTTGAAAAATGTTTTTCCGTGTCACGAAAATAGTTGATAATTTGGGGCGCCATTTCCGCCATCTTGGAATAGACTCTACATTCCCGAAAAACATAAAACAGACACATTACAAGCGATATCTGACCTTTCTAATATTCTAAACGATCTGTCAAGCTCAAATTTTAAACGTCCGAAAATCCTGAAAGTCCCGAAAATGGCCCAAATTTCGGAAAAAATGGCCGCTGGCAGCCATTTTTGTCAAGAAAATTCTGAAAATATTACGGTGTAAGTTTGACCACGAGTGGACTTCGGTAACGGGAAGAAACCTTAGAAATTACGAATAAAGTGAAACACCCCATTAATTGCATCTTAAGGTGGGTGGAGCGGCAGTTGTGACGTCTTACGAACTAGTCTGTTCTGTAATATTATTATTGTCTAATTTTAAAAGTATTATTATTTGCAAGCCTTTTTATAGCGTCATTTCCACAAAAATGCTTAGTGACGCTTTACAATAAAAATAATAATTATGATATAAAACATAATTGGCAAGACAAATAAAGGATTAGATAAAATTCCAATATTTTACCTAAACAATACGATAAACTCACAGGATAATCCTTAGAAAGTTGTTCGACAATAGTACGCATGCGAAATAGACACATCCAAAAGGAAAATGGTCTGTCAAACGAATATAAAGTAAAAGACATAACTGAAATGCCTAAACCTCAAACCGTTGAAGAAGTAAGGCGTTATTGTGGTTGCATAAACTGTCAAAAAAACTTCTGTCAATGTTGTCTGAAGTCATTGTACCTATTCGCACAATGCATATAGACCAATGCATGGCATTAGTCAACAGATCAAGATGAAGCTTAAACTAAACTGACACTACAGCTCCTGTATTAGCACAGTATAATTATCATCTAACGAATTGTTTATACAATATGAATCCTGTGATGCAAGTCTGCATGGTATTGGAAGTGTTCTACTACAGCAGTGGTTCCCAACCTTTTGTTGGTTGCGACCCCTGCCAGAAACCATAATCTGATCGCGACCCCCTCTAAGAACAAAGTCACCCTTTACTATTCAACAGCATCAATATGTACAGATCAAAATGTTGTAATGAGAGACCGAGAAACCAAATCGTGAGCGTGAGAGAGGAAAGACGATTGGCAATGTGCCAAGAGGTGTATAAATCAGAGATTAACGAGGGCTGGCAGAAAAGTTCTAAGCATATGTGAAAGACCTGTACAAAGTCGATGATTTTCATTTTTTTTTCATCATAGTCCCCTTCGAGGTGTACACACTTTTGCCAACGACGTTGCAAGGCTTGGATGCCGGTCAAGAAGGAATTTTCTTTAGCCACCCTAAAAAGATTCACAACTGACATGGCGTCATCATTACTAGGAAAATGACGACCGACTAGTTCCTTTTTGGTTACGAATCTGACCAAAAATATTATCAGGATCTGCTTAAACGGCGATGATTGGCACGGGACGTCAGGAATCTGACACGTTTCTGATCCGCAGTCAAGGGTTTTGGCTCCCATCTTGCAGAAAATTTTGTCATTCGTAACTCGTTGGCGATAATGTGCTCAGCCATCTCATGAGAGATGCCCACAACACTGGCAATATGTCGAGTGGTCAATCGTCGATCAGCCATCACCATGTCATGCACCCGGGTAATGTTTTATTGAATGGCCTTGCAGGGCGAGGATCATTCCACAGCCCACTTGTGGAAAAGGAAGGTGCATTATCCCCTAAAGTGGAGTCCATGTCCGTTCAGTTGCAGGTAATTGATGACTGCCCTGTAGCCAGTTTGCTAATTTCTGGTGATTTCAATGGGTAGGTTTACAAGATGGTCTGGTACGAAGACAATAATAATACTAGGAGAGATATTTTTAAATGCAATATTTAATATTTTGAACAATCAGCAGAACTATATTGTGTACAGGTGGAGTCACTGGTAGTTTCCTTGTAGCCCGCCATCTTGTCTAATCCTGATCCTACAAAAACAAAAAAAAATTCGTATAAGTTGTTCCAGCCTTTTGCAGTTTCAGGGGATAAATGGGTTTTATATACAGTGCATGATTTACAAAGGAGCACACTCTTGTATAGACGCTTGACACCACTTCATACTTTAGAATTTCTCTACATATTTAATTGAATTTGGCTTTCGTTTCAAGAGATCTTTGATTGTCCTTAGGATAAATTATGCACATTATTTATATACTTCACAGAATTAAATGCAAATATATACAAAATATGATTCTAGACAGTTGATTGTCCCTTAGGATTTATTATCTATAGTATTTCTATTTCTTTGGATGAAAAATATACAAAATACCCAACATCATTGGATGCAAAAATATACAAACGTCCTTTCAAAATATGATCCCACCTCCCGTTTTTCTGATATTTTTTTATATTGCACACAAATATGTTTTAGCTGGGTTACCTGTGATGAGATTGTTCAAGTTACAGTAGTTGGTACCATAATCCAAGACAGCATACCAAGTTTCAGATGTACTGTAACCCTAAAAATAAAAAATATAATCAATGTAATTTGGTTGCATGACACTGTCCATGTATTGAAGTAACCACAGTCTAATCTGAAAACTGATCTAAGGCTGTTGTAAAACTCTTTTAATAATATTAAACTGTTTCTCAAGAAGTTTAAGGAATTCTCTTGTAAAATACTTTTATCCAAAAAGGTCTTGTGCTTGTATTTTTTTGTTATCCGTGCGTTTGGGTTTTCGGTTATTAAGTGGGCAACGTGAAGTTGGCACGTTATTCGGGATTCGCCACTAAAACAGACCTCGCTACCTGCGACCCTACGGGTAAGTGAACGTCGGGTGGCCGACTAGCACGGAGACGGCAGCTTCTCAAGCCTGTAGGATGCTGACTGGTTTGTTGGAGTTCACGGGGCAGTAAGTGAACGTTGGGTGACCGACTAGCAAGGAGACGACTGTTTGTCGAGCGAATAGGGTGTTAACTGGTTTGTTGGCGTGCACTGGGCAGTCCTCTCCTGCACTCACCTGTTTGATTGTCGAATCCCGAACGACGAGCCATTACGTTATTCGGGATTCGGAAGTAAAACAAGATCGGCCTACCTTCAATCCGACCAATTTCCTCGCTACCCCCGACTGTAGGGATAAGTAAACGTTGCGTGGCCGACTAGCCCGGAGACGACCGTTTGTTATGCGAGTAGGGTGCTACCTGGTTTGTTAGAGTGTACGGGCAGTTCTCTTCAGCAATCATCTGTTTTATTGCTGAATCCCGAAAAACGTGCTGGTTCGTTATTCGGGATTCGCGAATAACGAATAACGAGTCAGCATGTTATTCGGGATTCGCTACTAAAACAGAACGATGTACCTTGCATCTGACCATTTCCTCGTTGTGTGGCCGATTAGCACGGAGACGACCGTTTGTTATGCGAGTAGGGTGATATTTGTTAGAGTGTACGGGGCAGTCATTTCCAGCAATCATCTGTTTTATTCCCGAATCCCGAATAACGTGCTGGCTCGTTATTCGTTACTGGTGAATCCCGAATCACGAATAACGTGCTAACTTCACGTTGCCACTTGGGTTATCTTGAATACATTGTATTCTTTTGTTGAAAGTGATAATCACTCTAAGAAATATTAAATTACTCTGATCATACCTCTCAGACTGAAATTAACTATAAATATATATGCGGAAAGTTTAATCGGTGCCCGTTTAATAGAAGTATGAAGTATAAAAACACCTGAGTTTGTATCGAAACCGTCTAAATGTGGCAATGGTTAAAGAACTAATCATTATTCCAGCTTTTTTCTTGTATG